CATTCGCCACCATAGTCCATCAGGATCTCTGGGTAAACAACTTAATGTTAAAAGAAGAAAACGGAAAATTCATCGAAAATAAATTTGTTGACTTTCAAGTCACTCGTTTCATATCTCCAGCCGACGATGTGCTCTTCCTTCTATTGACCAGTATAGAAAACGATATTCTCATGGAAAAATTCGATTATCTAGTGGAATTTTACTACGAGCACTTTTTAGTTACCCTGAAAAAGCTCGACGTAAACACAGAACCTTTCTCAAAAGAAGCTTTTGAACAAGAAATTAAGAATGCATATCCACGCCAACTACAGCATACACTAACCATGCTATTTCCTATTTTTATGGACAAATCCAAAGCGATGGATATGACTGAGTTTAATCCTGAAACTGCTCCTCCAGTGGAAGCGTCCAAAGAACAAAAAGAAAAATTATACAGTATAGTTAAACTACTTGCTAAGAAAGGCTGGTTATAATTTAATTGTATGTAATAAATTTCTATGTATTTAAATTATGTTTTCTTATAATTAAAACGATATTTATTAGTATATTATGTATCAAGTTTGATAAACGTGATTTTAAAATTTCACGAGTTTAATTTAGGCACGAGCGAGCTTGCGAGCGGGTGCTTAATTAAATGAGTGTCTAGACAAGTTTCTAAACTAATTGCATATTATACTTTTTCTACGAAATATACTCATTATTATTTAAAAAAATTAAATATTTGTATATAGGGACATCTATAAAAAATAGAGTAACGATTCTTGGAAATCTGTATTACCGGCGCGCCGGTGAGTATGTTTTTATGTGTAAACCTAAATGTATTCCTTAAAAAAAAGCTGTCTAAATCCGATATAGAAGCAGTTTCTCACAGTGAAAGCAAAGAAAATGTTTTATGAGCACTTCAGAGGGTTAAACACAATTTTATGTATCCTCTTTGCGCCCATGGGCATGTAAACCGCTTTGTCGTAGGGGTTCAATGTCGTATATATTGTATGTATATATTGTAAAATGTCTATAGACATAGTATACCAAGTATCTAGAAATTTGATTAAATGAAGGACAAATTTGGTCATTTCGACGACTAAACAATTTTTTTACGATACATAAATCAATTTAAATACAAAATATATTATTGCACTCCAAAATAGAGTATTGTACGCCAAAAAAGTATCAAAAAAGAGAAAAGCACTCCTGAATAGGACATCACATAGGACGCCAAAATAAACATTGCGCGATAAAATGGAGCATTTTACGATTTAAAAGTATAATCAACGACCAAATAAGATTTAAAGATGAAAATTAAATAATCTTTAGTAGGGCAGCAACCAGTAATACACGCTCTGTCGCTGAGGTCTGGCGATTAGTCTACACTGAGAAAACAGTTTGTAATTTTACTATAAAAATAATGTAAAAATTTACTATCTCTTACAAGTAAATATTAAATTACGCATCAAAATAAGTTTATTTACTAAACAGTAGTAATATTTACAAGCAATTAGTAATTTTACTGATTGAGTTACTTATTACCAAGTAAATTTACCACCTTTGCAAAAAATATACATGTACTTAGTAAAAAATTACTTAAGTTTTGGAAATTTACTTCGTTCTAGTAAAATTACAAATGTGAAGTAAACGCTGGCCAATCAAAAACTGGCTGTTAAGTCACGTGACCCACACGCTTCCTTCTCCACTTGCAAGTGTGCATTCGGCGTCCATTTAGTCTTTGGGATCTTTGCTTCGGGGTTTTCTAAGATCTTCTATTTATAATCCCAATAGTCACTATTAAATAGTGTGACGCATTTAATTATTGTTTTCAGTGGTTCTTTTATTTTCGTAGTTAACAGGTAAGTATACAACAATGTATACTTGTAATTATTGCCATTGTAGTTTGTTTTCAGTAAAACAATATGAAAAACATATGATATTACATAAAAATCTTCAAAATGCACGATTTTCATGCGTAAGAAAGAATTGTTTTGTTATTTGTAAAACGTTTAGTTTATTTAAATTACATATAAAAAGAAAACATACTATTTTTAACTCAAATGTTGGAGAAAATCGTACATTTAGTTGCAAAATAGTAAACTGTGTCTTCATTACACACAAAATAGATTTATTTTATAAACATATTAACAATCACCTTAGAGGAGGAACGCATATTCATTGTCCATTTGCTAGTTATTGTAAAATATCAACCATATTTAAAAGTGTAAACACTTTTAAACTTCATATTCATAGAAATCATTTTATTAAAACTTGCATAAAAAAACAACCTCTTGTTAAACATGCTGAAACAAACAACGAGGAGTTAAATTATGTTTTGGCTGTTGAAAATGCAGAATGTCACGAGGAAAATAGTTCCGAAGATATGTTTGATGTAAGTTTGAAATTATTAAGTTCTTTATATCTTACACTGGAATCAAAACATTTTGTGTCAAACAAGGCTTTGCAGACAATGGTTGAAGCTGTGTCAAATATTAGTAATTTAAATGTAAACTATATAATACAAGAATTAGGAAAAAATAATTTAAACACTAATTTAATTACTGATATTGTAAGCAATAACTTATTTACTAAAGCGCTTAACCAAAATCAGGGACTATTAAGGACCAAATATTGCCGCTATAAATATTATAAAAAATATTTTAATTACATTAGTCCAGTTGAAATAAAGTTAAGTAATACCAGGTTTTTTTATTATGTATCAATAATAGATACAATTAAAATCTTATTTAAAAATGCTCAATTTAAAAGGGAATATTTTAATAATTTTCAACACCCAACTAATAAAAAAATTTTCTCAGACATCACCGATGGTTTATGTGTTCGAAACAATGATTTTTTAAATTCAAATCCCGATGCCATTAAAATTATTTTATTTCAAGATGCGTTTGAGGTGTGTAACCCCTTGGGTTCTTCAAAAATTAAACACAAAATAATTGGAGTATATATGACTTTAGCCAATCTGCCTCCTTGGCAAAGATGCAAAGTTGATCATATTCAGCTGGTAGCGTTAGTTTATGAAAAAGACGTCAAGGTTTTTGGTTTTCAAAAAGTTTTGGAACCACTTATAAACCACATAAATATTTTAGAAACAAATGGTATTACCATAGAAAAAAATAATACTGATTTTTGCTTAAAAGGTACTATTGTTGCAGTAGTTGGGGACAATTTAGGGTCACACCAAATTGGAGGGTTTGTTGAAAGTTTTAGACTGCTTTCATATTTTTGTAGATATTGCTATGCTAATAAAGTTAGTTCAAATGATGATACAATATTTAATTTGTCAGATAAAAGAACCAAAGAATCTTATTTACAAGATATTGATTGTGCTCGTTCATTAAATGAATCATATAAAGGTGTTAAACAAAATTCATGTTTAAACAAATTATTGCATTACCATGTGTGCAATCCAGGTCTCCCCCCCTGTATTGCTCACGATTTATTCGAAGGAGTTATGCAAGAGGACTTGGCCTTATCTCTTAATATGCTTTTTAAAAATAAAATAATTGATGTCGATGAATTAAATCAAAGTTTGCGGGAACTAAAGTTCGATCTAGAGAAAAAAATATATTTTCCTATTTTAAAAAAGAATATGACACATTTGCCAGGAAGTGCATATCAAAATATGTGGATTATATTTGTATTACCTTTTGTTTTAAGACAAAAAAATCTTGCTGAGTGTTCTTTATGGAAATTTGTTTTAAAAATGAGAATAATTTCTTTGTTTATTGTTAGTCTAAATATAACAGAATCTCAAGTAGCATGTTTAAAAACCTTAATTAGTGATTATATTTTGCAGCGACAATATTTGTTTCCCAACTCAAACTTAAAGCCCAAACACCACTTTTTATTACATTATCCCCAGTTAATTAAAAATTTTGGCCCCCTAAGACATATGTGGACAATGCGTTTTGAACAAAAACATCAATTATTTAAAAAAATAGTTAGACATACATCAAATTTTAGAAATTTGTTATTCTCTCTTTCTGAAAAATGCCAACTTTCTCAAGCATTAACATTGTCACAAGCAACAATTTTTAATTACAACGTTATTGTACATGATGATCCTGATGAAATTAATTTTACTAAGTATCCTTTACAAATATCTGAATTATTACAACTGTATAATAAAAGCAATGGACATATTAAATATGTATCAGAATTTGTTAGTTTTAGGGGTATTGAGTATAAAGTTGGGATGGTGCTTTGTCATGAAATTAATAATATTGGAGATTTTTGTTTATGTAAAATTAAAAATATTTTTATCACTGAAGATTATACTAATGTTATTTTTATAGGAAAAACTTTTAATGTTTTGTACAATGCAGATGATGGATTATATTATGAGTCGAAAGATTTTGTTGATATTAATTTATCTTCTGATGTAATCATTGATGCAAAATCTTTGTTGTGTCCTGAAACTGTTTTACAACATACATTCAATAGTGTACCGGCTTTTGGTTTTAAGTCACAACCATTTCAATTTTTTTAGTTTAAAAGTTTTGTATATTAAAAATTGACTGTACCCGTGACATACCTTGTAACTTGACTATTCTTTCCATAAAATATACCACATAAAGTTTCCAGGAAAATTCGATTGCAATAAATTTCCTAGGAATTTTTCATGAATTTTAGTAGCGTTTTCCGTAGAAAGACCTTTTTGGCCTTCCAATTTTATGACAATGGAAGTCCAAAAAACAGTTTTTAGACTTTTTAAAATTATAATATAATTATATATGTTAAATTTGTATTTGTATTATTGTATGTTTACTTATAAAGATTCTTGTAATATGTTCCATATTCTCTCACCTTTTATACTATACTACATATAAAAATTATTATTTACCTATAGGTAAATAATAATTTTTATATATATACTATAATGGTACAGTTTGTAGTTTAACTATGTTTTTACACTGTTAAAATTATAATATAATTATATTATGTTAAATTTATACTTATGTTATTGTATTTTTACTTATAAAGGTTCTTGTAGAATGTCCCATATTTTTAAAGTTTGGTCGTGTGACAGAAAATTCAAATCCTTATTTAAGGTGGCTGAACCTGATATTTTATGCCAATTAATTTTAAAAGGTATGATTTGTATATTAAATAAATTTTATTGGCAATAAAAATAAAAATATAATACATTTTAGTTAATGAAAAATTTCAAATAAATGGCTCATCATTAGTATTAAATAAAGACGGTACTGTGATAGATGATGAAGACATTTTAATTGAAATGAAAAATGAAACTCTTCTTTTATTGACCCAAAATGAAAAATGGACTCCAGAAATTGGATGCAGTAGTAGTAACACGTTACCATCAACAGAAACTTTAAATTCGTCCAAAATTTTGGAATGGCTAGACGATTCCTCTAAAAATCAAACTGAAAATCTGGAAAATGTTCCTATAAATAATATACAAATTTTAAACATCGTGGAAAATCCGGAATATCAATGGACAAATTATGTGATTCCATGGGATAAAATACCAACAGACATGATACAAAAGTGTGAACAAGGGGTAGTGTCCAAGTCAATTATAACTGAAATTGTTCATATAGTCATTAACGACCTGAGGGCTATTAAAGAATTAATTCCAGCAAATACGTTAAAACGTATAGCAAATGATATAGTTCATAGATATCCCAAAGTTTTTTCAGATTTAGATGATGATGGTTGTATAGTTGGAGATGGTTCTGCGACATTATACTGTAAACTTTATGAGAGAGCAGCTTACTTAAGAAGACCGCATAAAGCACAAAATACTAATATTGTGTCAGTACCACCAAAACTTCGAAAAACAAAGATTAATATTATGGCAGGATGCAGTGCATGGTCTCCTGATAATAATCTTAATACTGCAGAAGTTGAACCAAAACGACAAAAATTGAACAATATTGATACAACTTTAACTGAAGACTTTTGTAAACTTATGGAGGAAACATATCCTGAACAAAGACTGTTTTTAAATAATATTGAAAAACCTCCAAATGTTATAGATGTTAAGAATATATGGCCGATTCTTTTTAAGTATGATGCTATTAAATGGCATTTTAATAAACTTACCGGTGCTGATATTAATAATCTCTCAACAAATATGTCATTAAAACTTGAGAAAATTATAGAGTTTGGATTGAAATTAAAATTGATTCAAAAATCACAGATTTCAGAGGGATGTTGTGAATGCATTCTAATAATATTGTCCCAGTATTTTAAGGAACCTTTAAACAACTTTTTAATAAAGTCTGAGGTAATATTCATTATACAACATGTATAAAATATGTATCACTAATATTTATTTATTTTAGGATTACAATTCAGCTGGAAATAATATAAATTCAAACAATCCATGCATAGTAAAGATAGGTAATACCGAATTTTATACATAATATTAAGACTTAGTAGTATCATTTTAGAATCAACTATCATTTTAGAATCAACTAAGGAGACAGTTTATCAAATATATTTTCAAAAAGAATTAGTTGTTAGTTTAAATACATTTTTGGAAGCCATAACTGGAGTCTTTGGAATTTTTTTCATTTTTAATTTGGAGTACCCAAAAGAGATCTCAATGATTATGGAAATGATTCAGCGGTATTTTTTGAAAATACATCCAGATCAGGGAAGCCGTTCAAAAAAATCCACATCTAAGAGAAAGGTTATTTCATTAATTAAAAAAATAAATGAGTTTGTTTTATAAATGTTTATTTAAAAATGTAAATTAATAAAAGGGTATTAGTACAAATTAAACATATAACTGATATTACTATATTACATATATGTATGTATATACATAGTTTTAGTTGCTCCTTATCATTTAAGAAATAATGCCGTCTAAGTTGCAAACTGCAAAATTATTTAGGACATAACATTTTTTAAAATAAATCTTACATTTTGTTGATATTATATAGTTTTTTATGTTTTAAACAATTTGCTGCATCGCTTGGTATTGTTTAAAACATAAAAAACTATATAATATCATGTTTATTTGTAGTACATTTAACAGGAGCAACCAAAACTAAATATTGATATGGAATGTTTCTTTTAAGTTTAAAACATTGTTTTTTTAAGTGTATTTTTTATTTTATATTGTATTAAAATTTTCAAAACAATTTGTCTTTTTTCCATTTTACCAATATATTTAAAGTGTGTTAATAATACAAAGTAAGTATACATATTATTTGAAATATACAAAGTAATATTACTTTCTTTTTTGAAAATTACAAAGTAAATATACATATTATTTGAAATATACAAAGTAATTTTACCTTCCTTTTGAAAGTTACAAAGTAAATATACCTATTATACGAAAAAGTGCATGGTAATATTAAAAATAAAAAGTAAAAATACAAGGTAATTTTACTTTTAATTTTTAAAATTACAATGTAAATTTAATTTTGTTTGTAATGATATACATTAAAAAAGTACTTTTACATTGCAATAGTAAAATTACTTGTGTATCATAGGTAACAAAAAACCTTTGATATACAAGTAAACTTTTTTCTCAGTGTAGTAATGGGCCGAATAAAGAAGACTGGACTTGTGGATGTCTTTCCTGTCGTGTAAAACTTATTTTAATCAGTAATTAATGTTGTTGTAGTTCATTTTCATATTCAATTTTTTCCGCCTGCTGTTTTGTTGTAAAGCGACCCTAAATTATTGTGCGATGTTTGGCGAGTCACCGATCTTTATTGGCGATCGTTTAAACTATAACGTGAGAAAATGTTTTCCTGGCGTGAGGTTATATTTTTAACAAAATTTTCCAAATCCTCATTAAAAAATGTTTTATTCAACCCTTCCGTTTCAGGGGGGGTTTTAGAGGAATAAAAAGAGATTAGACTAGATACGACAAGAAATTTTTTTAAAGAATGTTTAAAATAAGGCACATACAGATTTTCCAAACATTTATCTTTCAAAGGGTGTAGTTTTTAATGGGGAATGGAAATAGGTTTCTTAAATTGTCTAGATACTAAGTAGACTAACGAACTAACAACATATATAAATTAAACCCCTAGGACCAAGCTGTTTACAAGGACGCAAAGAGGATTAATAATATTGTGTTAAACTCCTTTCCTAAGGGTATACAACTATACGTATAAATGAATTAAAATGGCTAATCTCTTAAACGACTGAATCGATTTTGACGGGACTTTAAGTAGCAGGTCAAACGATAGTAATTATGGGCTACTTTTTTTTACTTTTTTAACACTTTAATTTTATTTATATGTATACAGGGTGTCCCAAAAGTCAACGATATCCTTTGAAGGACTAATAGGTCAGCTCATAGATGACCCCTTACTTTTTCTTATATGGATATAACCACGGGAGCGAAGCCCTGAGCATTCAGCTAGTTTATGTCTCCATTTTTTTTATTAAAATTATTTATTAATAATAGGTAGGTAGTACATTATCTAACAGGCGGAGAAAGCGCTTATTTAAAGCCGAGCTAAGTGCTGCCCTGGCCTTACTAAGGCCGCCTTAGCCGAGGATGCAGATCTGTGCGAGGCAGTTAATAATCTTTCTTCGCCGTGTAGTTTTTTAAGCATTTAATAATTCTGTACATTAAAATTATCGAGTTTGCGACAGTTTGTCGAGAAGCATTTCACTTCAAGTGTACACCCCCAAATTAAAGTTTGAACAAGAACCCCATGTACATTGAAAAGCAATATCTTTTGAAAAAAGTCCAGTACCTCAAAAAATCGTCCATTCGGTTATACTTTTAAAATTGGGCTATAATAAAAAAAACAAAAAAGTGATCTTGAAAGCAACGCTCAACTTTGCACACTGCACATAGCAAAATATATATATATATATATATATATATACTATATATATATATATATACTATATATACTATATATACCTCCTATAGGAGGTCAAATTCTGAAAAAAATCACTGTTAGCGAGTTATGAGCCAAAAAGCAAAAAAGCTCCCCTTTCGGGGGATAAAATTAGGGAACGCGGAAAGAAATTTTTGGGGAATATTCTTGATTCATTATCAGCACCCCTGACTTAAATAAAAAAAATAAAACCCGACTACCATCGAGTTTTAGAATTCCTTCTACAACCTTTGTTTCCTGGACTAAGAAAATGTTTAATTTTATTTTTTTTTCTCCTAAATTTTTAATTCTTAAGTAAACTGACATAATTTTTAAATTTTACTGCCTAAAATAGTATTATTTTACCTTTTCAGCTAAATTCTCATTATTAACAGAAATGAACCAAATATTCAAATTATACTTTTAAAAACAAGTTTGTGTTTCGTATTTAAATAATTATATATATAATTATTTATAATTCTTATAATGCCCTTTTAGCTATTTTTGTTGTATAGGATTGGTTATGTCACATTTTGAATCCTGTTTAACAAAAATGACTAATGTGCTTGGTTGGTAGTGGTTTTTACGCGAATGTGACATTAGCTGGCCATACACGACGTTATTGCGCGCGGTTTATCGTGTTATCTGCAAAAACATATGGAAAATCATGTACGTGAGTGAGTATCGCCTCGCGCAATGATAGAACGGGAAGGGATTTCAGACGTGCTTTCCTCTGGAGTGTGGAGTGTCCACACGCCACATTCCGCGTCACGGTTTACCTTTGCTTGGCAAAATTTCACGTTGAAAATTTGTACATGATCACATGCAGTTTCAAACGACTCGATAAATGACACTTTTTGCCTACTCACATACGATTTTTCCTTTGAAACTGATATACCACGGGCAATCACTTGCTAAATCATTTGAATACTTTATCAAGTGTATGGAACATGACGCTTTTTTTGCCATGCCGTTCTTTCGTGCATACTAACCGCTACATCCCAACACGCCACGATAAACCGCGCGAAATAACGCCTGTGTATGGCCAGCTATTGCTGTGCCTTGTTGTCAGGTCTTATGCTCTTGCATGAGGTCTCAAGTTTTTTCCATTAATCTTATGTTATTTAAAAATTTTATACAATTTCACAAATTTTAGCAAATTTGTGCTTTTTCGTAAAAAAGTATTTTTAAAAACATGTCAGCAATTATATGCTTATTTACAACAAAATTTTAAATGTGCTTTAGAAAATTATAAAATTTATGATGGTTTTATAATATTTTTACAAGATATATTAGTTACTTTCAAATTTTTATAAACAAATTGTATACAATAATAAATAAAAATTTAAGAATGTCTCAACCTATAGGTTATTTATAAAATCCCATCTCTATTAATTAATCTCTATCACTTAATAAAAATATTTTAACATAACTTTTGTATCAATAAAAATGCGTAAATTTTTAAGAGTTCAAGGATTTTTTATCATTAAAAAGATTATTAGCAAAAGATATTCATTAAACAACCATATTTTAATTTAAAAAATTAAGTGTCCAATAGTTGTGATTATTAAAAAAAATGAATTTTTATAAGTTATTTGTTTTTTGGTTCGTAGTTTTTATTAGTAATATTAGTGTTAATGATGGGCGACGACATATTAATAATAAAAAACACAAATTATTAAAAACCCCAAAAGATATAGAGATTCGAGATAAAAATGGTATGTATTATGTTATTTATTTTAAACATACTCTCTTAAAATTAATTAGTCAAAAATAACTAATTATAAGTCATATTTGACTAATTGTCATAGCAAAAAAGCAGTCACTAATAATTATAATTAGTCAAATTTTACAGAAGAAAATAGTCAAATTTTAAATTTAAATTTAAAAAGTTTTGATCCAGCAGGGTTTTTGAACTCGTCAAGCGCTTGCCTAAACCCTGCGCCACTGCTCTTTTATAAAAAATTAGTTAGGTACATCTGTCAATAAATATTGTTAATAAATTTTAAAGTTTCATATCTTTTTTATGTTGCTGTTTTGAGCTAAACTTTTTACATCTTTGTTTGTTTTTATGGACCATTTAACCATGGAGCCTTTTGTTGTTTTGTTGTTGTTGGCCGCAAAAGAAATATCAAACCTTACTACAGAAAATTATATAATTTAAATATTTACAAAAACAAACGTTAAAATTAATCAAAATACTTACTAATATTATTACTAGTATATTATTCATATTTTAAGCATTTTTATTGCATGCATATTTCATCATTCATTCATCATATATTGCATTTATTTGGTATTTATTTATTACAAACCTAATAAACTAAATGTAAGAAGTATGAAATGAACTGGGGTATTTTCGTTTTTCAATTTAATTCGATGAATTATTGCATTTTTTTTTACTTTATGTGATAAAATGTGTATTTTTGGTCATGAAAAGTCTACTTAATTTCTTTTTTATTGTAGGTAATGTGTGATTTTTTTTAAATATTAACTAAATTTACTAAAAATTAGGGGTGTGCAAAAAGTATTCCAATCGAACCATTCGAATAGTTCGAATTATTCAAATGGTTCGAATAATTTCAATGGTTCAAAAGTTCGAATTGTTTGAATAGTTTTAATAGCTCGAATTATTAAAATAATTCGAATATTATAAAATTTAAATTTTCCAATAATAAGTAATTATTGAATTTAATTTATTTAATAAGTTTGACCCATTATCATTGTATCACATAAATTAAACTATTCTCATGAACCATTTGAATAATTTTAACCCTTTAAATAATTAAAAATACTCGAATAAATCGAGATATTCGAATAGTTCAAAATTTGAATTTCTAATTGAATTTTTTTATTTGATCAGTCTTAAATTCGATTATTATTATTATTATATTTTACAAAGTTGTTGTTAAATAGTGAGGCTTCAAGTAGAATACAAATTAAATCTTTAAATATGACTTACAGGATTTTATTATTTTTTATGTAAAAAGCGATCCATGTCTTCCAGACCCCTACTGCCTATCCCAAACTTCGAGGACTGATTACAAAAAATAGAAATCGCTAGTTTTCATACCATAAAGTATTATTAGTATAATATTTTGGCATCACTCAAAAACCCGTTGAGCTGGGCTTCATTTATTTGCTCAACATTAGTATATAGTACGTGAGAAATACAATCAGTCCTCTCGGATTTAGGACAATATGTTAAAATTATTGTTAATACTTTTTGTTATTAATAGATCGTCAAGGATTTTGTCCAGGACAGCCAAACAGGTGCATATTTATAGAAAACCTAAATTATTTACAATTTGAATGCAACTACGACAAACAATGTCCAAGAGAATACAAGTGTTGCTTTGACAAATGTTTGGAATTCAAAATATGCAAACATTTAGATACTAAAGACAATTCTAAAGAAATCAAAATTGTTACAAGTGCTCCAGAGAGAAGTACTTTAAAAAGTACTACAGAAATCGTCACTGAAAAACAAACTACCACGATGGAAAGTACTATAACCACGGAAACAACTTCCACAATGACAGAACTGGACACCACCACAATACAAAGTACTACAAAAACAATGGAAATTCCCTCTACAATAATGGAAAAAACTACTACAACAATCGAAAGTTCTACAAGGACAATGGAAAGTACTTCAACAACGATAGAAAGTACTGCGACTACATTGGAAAGTACTACACCCAGTGACATTTTGACTTCTTCAGAGGAGTATGATTACAACGACGCAGAAGAAAATGGTGTAGATTATGATTAAGAAGATCAATTGACACAATAAAATATTTGAAGTAGGAGCTTTAATTTAAATTGAATACAAACTAACGAATATTTTATTGGTTCGACCTTTATTTGATGAAACTCCATGTCACTAATGTATAACTAGATAAAAACAAATACTGTTTTTTGAGTTTCACGAATTTCATTCAATTTTATTTTGACAATTGTAACGCTAACACAGTAGCTTCTTCAGAAATGATTTCAAACTTTTTCTAATAACAAACTTATAACCCAGTTATTGCAGGTAATGTTTTTTTTAACAAATTTTGGTACAGTATGACAATTTTACCTGTTGTAATAAACTAATTTTGGGGAATTTTATATAATATTATAATAAATTTAACAGAGGGGAATAGTTTTTTTCTATTTGATCATTAAGGATACTATCAGATTTTTTAATTTATTAATTTCTAATGGTTCAAGTAAATTTAACGTCGTACCTTTATCTGCAACATGTAAAATTTTAAATTTATTGTTAAATGAATGGTTTTCTTGAATTAAATGGTTGGCATAAGTTGAATCTGTTTTTTGATTTATAAAAGATTTTTTATGTTCATTAATTTGGGTTTTAAAATTCCTACCAGTTTGGCCTATGTGAGTTTTTGGACAGTGTGCACATTGTAGTTGGTACACTCCGGATTTCGTATCTTTCTTAGTATCTTTGTTGTTTTTATAAATGTACTCAAATTGTTGTTGATTTTAAATGCAATAGAAATATTATGTTTGTTAAAGAAATTCGACACATGTCTAGTCTTAGTACATGAGTATGTGACAATGTTGTATGTAAATATGGGGTTCTTTTGAGAAAAAGGATGTGAGGAACTAAACTAAACTAACTAAATTTTAAATGTGTGAGTGCTATTCTTTTCTTGGATGGTAAGACCTAAAAAGTTAATTTGATTATCCTGTTCTTCTTCCATAGTGAATTTAATATTAGGGTGTATCTCGTTAATAAACTTTAGAACGCTATTTAATTGTTTTTTTGTACCTGTGAAACATGTTAGGATATCATCTACATATCGGTACCAATATAAGAATTGTTTTATATTAGGATGTTTGTGGATGATTAATTCCAAGTGGTTTAAAAAAATATCAGCTAGTAATGGACTTACCTATAATTAATTCATTATGGCCAGTTTATATTTTATTATTAAGTTTGAAGTAATTTTGAAGCTACTGTGTTAGCGAAACAATTGTCAAAATAAAATTGAAATAAATTCGTGAAACTCAAAAAACAGTGTTTGTTTTTATCTAGTTATACATTAGGTGAAATAACGAATGGTTTAGGAGAAATCCAAAATACTTAAGGAGATAGAATTGGCTAGAAAAAGTTAATCTACAATATCGGTTTTTGAAAAAATTATAAAAATAATATTTAAATAAATTGTGTTTCTTTCAATTATATAATATTATTTGATGTGGAATGAGGAAAACTCTTTATTTTGCACAACCGATGCGTGGCCCAAAACACAGATTATAATTAAAAAGACACTTTCTAAAGTAAAGATAAATAAAATAGTTCATTATTTAAGGAGGAAGCACCAATTCTATAGCCGAACTGCATTTCTGAGGCAGTTCTTATGCTTTGTTTGCCTTATTGTATATACTAATTTTATTTTTATTATTGTATACTGTCGATACCCAACTTTTAATATTTGTTATTTTAGCCAATTAATGTTCACATGCGCTTTGTTAAATTACCAAAAATACCTTAATATGAATGCCAAGTAAGACAGTTTAGTACAGTGTCGGCCGGTTACATATTATGTGTATGCGAATATATCGTCGGCCTTATCACGTAGTGAGCTAACTGGCATTTTATAAATTTTGGGTGTGTAAAGTTAATTCCCGAATAACATTAATGAGCCTTGTTTACATCGTAAAGATTTTTCTGATGTGTTGTCTGTACTATGAAAGATACTGATAGACCACTTCATGAGGTAATTGAACAGTAGTAAGTTAATTCGCGAACAATCTCATATTTTTTTGTTTTGTGGGTTTTTCTGGGGTTTATCACTTTGTTATAAAGCGGACGATTATTACCTATGTGATCTTCAACGAAGAGGCTTTAGTCATAAATAACCCCATCGAAACACCCTAATTGTGAGGAAGGGTGAAGTTTGATCAACCAAAAATACATTCCTCTACAATAAAAATACCATTTATCTTCATATTGAAATTCTTTAGTTTGCGACATTATGTCATAGGTGTTTAATCTGATTATCTGATAATGTAGATGTTTGACATTATAATATTTTATGTGCATAAATTTATTCTACACTGACCTGTAGTTTTACAATTACCTACAATGATTTTGAGGTAAATGCTATATATGGAACCACTCCAATGTAATTTCAATATATTATCATTATTGTACCCTCGCCTGCGTAGTCTTATGAGTTATAATATAAAAGTTGTTAAGCCACCCTTGGCGCGCTACAAAGCTAAAACAGCAATTTTAATGTAAACAAACAAATACAGATAAATTTTGTTATTGTCATTAATAAGAAATGAATAATAATGATAACTATTTTTCATGGTATTTATTTAAAGGCAAATAGGAAATAAAATTTATCTTTTACCTTGCTGAGATAATCTTATATAGTAATACTAGTATTATAAACAAATAAAGGTACAGTGCATTTTAAAAGTGGGTGGGTAATAGTGAAATTTTTAAATACTTTCTAAAAGCATATTTAGGAAAATATTATACAATGAAGATTTCTTTTATATGCCTTCTATTTTTTACGAAATATTGTTGGTCGTGTCCACAATCCTGCACAGCATATTGTCCGCAATACTTGTCAATTTCCTGCACAAACTTTTGCTACAGGACCTGCTACCCCGCGGAACAAATACATCATTATCCTATAATACCATTTTATCATTATTATGGAAGACAACCTATTAATTCCGGTCACATTTATTATGTTTGGCGTAGATTGTATTTTAAAGGTGAGTTATAAGTACGGGTTTTGGAGATTTTGTTTGAATTTTTTGTAGCTTGTTTAAAGTATTGTAATTATGATGATTTTGGCCGGTGTATTGATGTTTGCGATTACTATGCCGATAAGAAAATGAATCAACGTAAGGTTAAACTAATAAATTTATTTAAACATTTATTAATTATTATTATTTTTAGGTACAAATATAACCAGTAGTACTAGTTCACCCTTAAATACAACTATAACAACTAAAGGTAAATAATAACAACATACAAAGTATAATATTTAAAATTAATTTTAAGATAACTCGATAGAGAAATAATCTTTTACACCAAAACATTATACTACAAAAATTTATAAATGAGTAAAATATTTATAAAACAACAATTTTGGAAACATTATCTAACATAGGTTTTACGCTTTGATGAAAAGCTATTTATTAAAAAATCCATAAAAATATTTTTTATGATCCGCAGGATAAAAACCTTTATTGTAGATTACTAGTTTTAGAGCTTTTTAATTTTTTTATTTAGCAAGCCAAAAACTCGATCTTTTCTTGTTGTTGACCCAACCTGTATAACTACTCTAATCTTTTGTAAATCACTGGGAACCATAGAGAAAGTATATATATTTTTTTGCTAGAGATGTGTTAAATAGTTTATGATTTCAAAATCAAAATCTAAGTTAACAACCTTTTTAAGTGGTTGCTGAAATGCCTCATTGATTATACTATACATTTCTACAGAAGATAAAATTGTACAATGTGCTCCTAAAATATTTGTTGACACGAAAATAGTCCTAAAATAATTAAATGTAAACTTTGTAAAGTTTGTATGGGTATTTTCATTTACAAAATTTAATTATTTTTTGATATAAAAATATCAGGGTGGTCCCAGGGGATAAAATGTCTCCATATGGTTAAAAAAGAAACTCTGCAAAGCTTAACTTTAGTCCATAATAACACCAAAAATGATTTAGGGACGAGTCATAAAGACCTTAAAGCATCCACCTAGAAAAACCCGGTTTAAAGTGTTTTTGTCTTAAACTTTACTAGAAATTTAAAATTTGTACTGCACAACATATGAAGAAATAGTGAAAACAAAAACATATTCTATGAACTAAACATCAAAATCAAAATAGAAAACTGTAAAAGGCTGCAAAATATGACACAGAACAGATCTTTTTATTCTTTCTTGTTTGCCAAAAGCCATTAATGGTCTCGGTATCAATGTACCATTTTGACCAGCAAGTTTTAACGTCCAAGCGCTTCAAGAAGCCATCCACCCATAGACACGTGAATGTCACAAAATAACTAAAAGGTCAAAGATTTGCCCAAAAATACCCATTTTGCTCCTCCTGGGTCGAAAAGATTGATAGATCAGTTACCAGAAAACCTTTTATATATCCACAGTATTCGCAGGACGTACACTAATAGCACTAGCGTACACATGGAGTGTTTGTTTCTCTATGGCCCACAGAGTTTTAGTTTTAGCCTGCTTGAAATAAAATAAATATAGGTATAGTACTATAGTTTTCTAAACTTAAAATAAAAATTATAGTTGATACTCCGTGGCTATCTCGACAGTTTTTAGTTATGAAGCATGCGCGTTTAAAGCTTTTTTCCTACTTGAGATAAAATCAGAGATATATCTCTGGATAAAATATATATCTGTTTATCAATGATTGCAAGGGCCGTGGTCAGTCGTATGCCCATATAGGAATAATAGATATATGTTATCAGAGATACTATACTCTATGGACACGGCACGTCACATTGCAACCTTGCAAACTTTTCGCCAGAAAACTATTTCTTAATTTGTATAACTTCCTTGTTGCGCCATTTTTGGTTCACCCAGATTTATAAATATTTTTCCAGTAACAAATAACTTTACGGAAAGTTATACATCCAGGCTTGTAACTAAGGTTTTAATAACAACTAAGAAAGATATCGCTAAACATTGTGGTATTTTTATTATATAATAATTTGGTTTTATACTTTTAGAACAGGAAACTTCTACTGAAACAAATTTGACAGTTGCACCACGTCTTAATTTGAAAGGAACTGAAGGTACATAATATATTATATAAACATATTATTATTTATTTTACATAAAACAGTATTTAAAATAATCCATACATTTTCTATAGAAATGGGAAAAAATAGAATTATATTTTTTACGACCGCTATGTAAAAGTCACATAACGTGAAAAGTGAGTCTTTCCATTTGCAAGTCAAATAAAAGTGACGATTCTGTGTCACAGGTCTTTATAAAAAGAATGTTAGATTGTTAAAAAGTTTCACATTAAAAACTATCGTCAGATAAAATATTAAATAAAATTCACTTGTGAAAAAATCATTTTTTAAGCTCCTGTTAATGCACACTCCCACAGAGGACTGAAATGGCAAAAAAGTTGCCAAAATCCATTTAAAAAACTAATAAAAATATCATTACCATATTGTTGTGGTATTAATCTTGATCCTGTACAAATTATATTTTTGGCTTAGTGGCGGCAATTTTATAAGGGTTTATAAGATTAAAATTTTTTTAACTAAAAAATTTAATCACATTTAAAACTTTTAAAATATTATCATGAACTTGTAAGACTAGTTTCATATATTAAAAGTTTCGATTCTGTACATATTAAAATTTAATGGAATCAGTGTGCTACTCAGCGATTTTATAAGGCTTAATTAAAATTATTAAAATTTTGTTTAAATAAGTTAAATTAAATTTTTTAAAAACTATTTTATTTATATAAATGGATCGGAGGTTGCTAAGCCTCCTCCGATAATTATTATTATTATTATAATTATAATTGGCTGATTGGATAATAAAGATGGCTTATTATATCTGCCCCATGAATTAATATTGTATGCAGTTAAGCAGGCTAATAGTACCAACTATTTAGACACACAGAAGTCTTCAGTGTACATTTATTAAATTTTTCAACATCTATTCCTTTTCCAGATGCCAAAGCTTACAAAATAACCCCAAACCTCTTAATTAGATTTACATCTACTCTTATAATATTGTATGTTGTTTCCGGATCCATAAAAAACCTACGAGCTGTATTGCTTGGAAGTCCCTTCCATTTTTTAGGGTATATCTATAATAATAATTATTAATCCCGGTTTTTCTATAACAATATTTAACTAAATAACTAAAAAATGCCAATTTTTTCAAAATCACCAAAATTTTGTTTTCATTCGTTGGAAATATTGGAATAAATTATCGGAACCTCGGAAAATGCCGAATCCGGAAAAGTTAACGATTATTTTTAATCATTCGTCGTCGTCTTTAATCCAAAGTTTATGAAGGTATAAAAACATCTTAGGGAAAACCCAACTGAGGTATTTCACCTTAATTTTCTATAAATTGCAAATTTATAAACTAAAAATGTAAAATGTAAAGCATAACTAAATTTTTAGCAACATCAATGTCAACAATTCGAATAGATACTGAAAATGCTACAATTAATAAAAAAACGACTACAGAAAAGGAAGGTAACCATTACAGTATTTCTAAGGATTATCTACATACATTAAAAAATGTAAAATGTAAAGTACCTATAACTCTATTTTTAGCAACATCAATGTCACCTACAATTCAAGTAGATACTGAAAATGATAAAATTAATAAAAAAACGACTACAGAAAAGGAAGGTAACTATTACGGCATTTCTAAGGATGATCTACATACATTAAAAAATGTAAAATGTAAAATATATTTTTATTTTTAGCAACATCAATATTACCAACAACTCAATTAGATACTGAAAACGTCACAATTATTGAAGAAACGACTATAGAAAACAAAGGTATAGTATTTCAAAGGATGGTATATTTACATTAAAAAATGTAAAATGTAAAGTACATAGGTATAACTCTATTTTTAGCAACATCAATGTCACAAACAATTCAAGTATATACTGAAAATGCTAAAATTAATAAAGAAACAACTACAGAAAAGGAAGGTAACTATCACAACATTTCTAAGGATGATCTAAATACATTAAAAATGTAAAATATACTTTTATTTTCAGCAACATCAATATCACCAACAACTCAATTAGATACTGAAAATGTCACAATTATTAAAGAAACGACTATAGAAAACAAAGGTAACTACTATAGTATTTCTAAGGATGGTCTACATACATTAAAATGTAAAATGTAAAGTACCTATAACTCTATTTTTAGCAACATCAATGTCACCAACAATTCAAGTAGATACTGAAAATGTTACAATTAATAAAGAAACGACTACAGAAAAGGAAGGTAACTATTACAGTATTTCTAGGGATGATCTACAAACATTAAAAAATGTAAAATATTTTTTTTATTTTTAGCAACATCAATATCAACAACAACTCAATTAGATACTGAAAATGTCACAATTATTAAAGAAACGACTATAGAAAACAAAGGTAACTACTATAGTGTTTCTAAGGATGGTCTACATACATTAAAACAATAAAATGTAAAGTACCTTTAACTCTATTTTTAGCAACATCAATGTCACGAACAATTCAAGTAGATACTGAAAATGCTAAAATTAATAAAGAAACAACTACAGAAAAGGAAGGTAACTATCACAACATTTCTAAGGATGATCTAAATACATTAAAAATGTAAAATATACTTTTATTTTCAGCGACATCAATATCACCAACAACTCAATTAGATACTGAAAATGTCACAATTATTAAAGAAACGACTATAGAAAACAAAGGTAACTACTATAGTATTTCTAAGGATGGTCTACATACATTAAAATGTAAAATGTAAAGTACCTATAACTTTATTTTTAGCAACATCAATGTCACCAACAATTCAAGAAGATACTGAAAATGTTACAATTAATAAAGAAACGACTACAGAAAAGGAAGGTAATTATTACGGTATTTCTAGGGATGATCTACATACATTAAAAAATGTAAAATATTTTTTTATTTTTAGCAACATCAATATCAACAACAACTCAATTAGATACTGAAAATGTCACAATTATTGAAGAAACGACTATAGAAAAAAAAGGTAACTACTATAGTATTTCTAAGGATGGTCTACATACATTAAAACATGTAAAATGTAAAGTACCTTTAACTCTATTTTTAGCAACATCAATGTCACGAACAATTCAAGTGGATCCTGAAAATGCTAATATTAATAAAGAAACGACTACAGAAAGGGAAGGTAACTATTACAGTATTTCTAAGGATGATCCACATACATTAAAAAATGTAAAATATATTTTTATTTTTAGCAACATCAATATCACCAACTCAATTAGATACTGAAAATGTCACAATTATTGAAGAAACGACTATAGAAAACAAAAGTAACTACTATAGTATTTCTACATACAATAAAAAAATTTCAAATGTAAAGTATAACTATATTTTTAGCAACATCAATGTCACCAACAAATCAAGTTGATACTGAAAATGCTAAAATTAATAAAGAAACGACTACAGAAAAGGAAGGTAACTATTACAATATTTCTAAGGATGAACTACATACATTAAAAAATGTAAAATAAGTATATTTTTATTTTTAGCAACATCAATATCACCAACAACTATAGAAAAAAAAGGTAACTACTATAGTATTTCTAAGGATGGTCTACATACATAAAAAAAATGTAAAATAAGTATAACTCTATATATTTTAGCAATATCAGTGTCACCAATAACTCAATTAGATACTGAAAATTCTACGATTAATAAAGAAACGACTACAGAAAAGAAAGGTAACTATTATAGTATTTCTAAGGATACATTAATACGTCTAAAATAAATCGTATAACTATGTAAAGTATAACTCTATTTTTAGTAACATCGATGTCACCAACAATGCAATTAGATACTGAAAATGTTACTATTATTGAAGGAACGCCTACCGAAAAGAAGGGTAACTACCATAGTATTTTTATTGAACACTAAAATTCTTCCTTTTTTTATCACGACCTTTATTTTTTAAATTGATGTAAAAGTATTAGATCACATGACAAAATTATGATTTTCTTATTATAAAACAAACAGGAAAGAATATTTTTAACACGTAGAGTGCCGCCATGGAAAGGTAAATTGACGGTTCATAATGGCCACTTAATTTTTGGTGGTTAGAAAACCAAAAATATACAGTACTTAAATTTCGGCCATGGTGGACAAGTTAGAGCACCAGCGCGAAAACCAACCAAACTAAGATATTGCTAAAAGCATTCTAAATCACTCCCTATATATTAGGGTGATTCAAAAAAAGCCTTTTTTTAAAAATGAACCCGCACTGGCCTAAATTATAAAGATTACATTAAAACTAAAAGATTAATACCAAAAAATCCAAATTCGATGAATATTTAGAGGTCGCTCAAATCGATTTTCGTATTTTTGCACATTCGAGCCGCGAAATTATTACTGCGCAAAATAGTAAATAACTCCGTTAGTTTTTATTCGATATTATTAAAAATTTAAGGGTTACCTAGTTTTTTAATACCCTCTGAGACAGTGAATTAAACTTTACGGAAAAAAGTTTTTTTTCATGAAAAAAAAAATAATTTGTTAATAAAAACGTATCTTCTTATAAAATAAGCAACAATTGGAATCGCACTATGATGGTACCGTAAAAAAACTAAGAAAATAACACTTAAATTATTTAGCATACATAAAACCTGCCGAAAGAAATATTTTATTTGATTTATATAAAACATAACCTAATAATAATTAAGTTATTCAAATTTTTCCCATTTTCATACGATTTTATAAATAATTTATATCCGTTTTATTAATTATGACGTATTTTTATGACATTTCTTTATTTTTGATACCATATTTAATTAATTACACTAAGTAGTTATTAATTTATGTCCTTTTTATAATTAAAATAAAAAAATCCACTGTTTTCAAATCATTTTTTGGGCGTATATTAGGGTGCTTCAAAAAAATTTCGCTCTTACCCTCTCAAATTTTTTTATTTAATATAAAAAAAATCCTCACCAAATATGGGCGTTCCAGCTCAACTCTAAAAGGTCGCTGTTTTTATTTTAGTTTCCCATTGAATTAACATGGGAAAAAATTAATTTATGTTTGGAATTTTATACCTCTGTATCAAAGTAACTTATGGTAATGATCATTGCAGTTTCTTATATAAAATTTAACGCTCTACAAAAAAGGTCTCTTATTATTTTTCGATAAATTGATTTCTTCTAGAGTTATTCGAGGTCAAAGTTTGATTAACATTAAATTTTCTGTTTTTTTTAATTTTATGGTATAATTAGCAGACGGGAGGTGAAAGGTTACAAAACAAGGCAGCGTTGTCCCCCCCCGCTGGGGCACCTAAAAAGTTTCGTAAATTTTTTGTTTTATTGTTTTTTTCGGTTTCTAAATCATTTGAAAATATATTTATTTACTCACCAAGAAAAAGGATGGTACAATTTTGGAAAACTTTTCATTTGCTCATTTTTTGGGTACCCCATTTTGCCCCCCCCCCCGCTGGCTTGTTTTGCCCCCTTCCACCTCAAGTCTGCTAATTGTACCATAAAATTAAAAAAAAACTGAAAATTTGATGTTAATCAAACTTTGACCTCGAATAACTCTAGAAGAAATCTATTTATCGAAAAATAATAAGAGACCTTTTTTGTAGAGCGTTAAATTTCATATAAGAAACTGCAATAATCATTGCCATAAGTTACTTTGATACAGAGGTATAAAATTCCAAATATAAAATTATTTTTTCCAATGTTAATTCAATGGGAAACTAAAATAAAAACAGCGACCTCTTAGAGTTGAGCTGGAACGCCCATATTTGGTGAGGATTTTCTTTATATTAAATAAAAACATTTGAGAGGGTAAGAGCGAAAAATGCACCCTAATGTATATATATATATTTATATTTATATAATTTATCAACTACCTGGTAGTAGGTCCTACTATTTAAGAATAATAATTATTATTGTGGTATGTCAATTTAGCAACATCTAGACAGAATCAAATAATTTTGGTATCAAAACTTGAGAATTGTTGTATGTCAATAATTTTAATAAAATTTAAATTTCTGCTTGAGCCATATCAATGCAGTGAATAATTTTGTAGTTAACGTTATTTTATTTTTGTTGTGAAAAGTACCTAATTTAATAACTACCTAGTGTAATTAATTAAATATGGTATCAAAAATAAAGAAATATTATAAAAATACGTCATAATTAATAAAACGGATATAAATTATTTATAAAATCGTTTGAAAATGGGAAAAATCTAAATTACTTAATTATTTTTAGGTTATATTTTATATAAATCAAATAAAATATTTCTTTCGGCAGGTTTTCTGTATACTAAATAATTTAAGTGTTATTTTCTTAGTTTTTTTACGGTACCATCATAGTGCGATTCCAATTGTTGCTTATTTTATAAGATGATACGTTTTTATTAACAAATTATTTTTTTTCATGAAAAAAAATTTGTTTCCTGTAAAGTTCAATACATTGTCTCAGAGGGTATTAAAAAACTAGGTAACCCTTAAATTTTTAATAATATCGATTAAAAACTAACGGAGTTATTTACTATTTTGTGCAGTAATAATTTCTCGGCTCGAATGTGCAAAAATACGAAAATTGATTTGAGCGACCTCTAAATATTCATCGAATTTGGATTTTTTGGTATCAATATTTTAGTTTTAATGTAATCTTTATAATTTAGGCCAGTGCGGGTTCATTTTTAAAAAAAGGCTTTTTTTGAATCACCCTACTATATATTCAGCATGGCTCTGGTGGACGGCTGTGATGCACCGCGGCCTGAACTTTAAAGAGGCATGGTGGACAACCTTGACTCACCACGGCCAGAATGGAAAAATAAAATAATCTCAATTGGTGGACATCGTTGACCCACCACGGCACTCTACGTGTTAAGAGCCTTGGCTGGCGTGGCAGTAGCCAATCCCTTTAACCCAATTTTATTACATTTTTGATAACATAGCCACGCAAAAAAAGAAAAGAATCTTGATCTATCGACGATACGTATATATTCCTATGCATTTGGACCCGCTGAATCCGAATCCAAAACACACTTTAGTTTTGACCACGATACACAAACGTTGTGGGTGGTCGCTTTAGCGATTTTAAGGTGTTTTTTGAGGTTATGGCCAAACCAAGACCAGTTTGCCTTACAGAAATTATAGGTACATACGGGTCACGGGTTATGGACTGAGGCTTTATAAATGACCCACATATTGATATTTATATTGATATCAATTTTTACACATTTTTTTGATTTTCACTTGCAATAAACCTTTTAAAAGGGACAACCAAAATCATCATCAACCAAGTCATTTCAAGTTTTAGGTGTTTTCAAGTTATTTTCTTTCTCTTTTCAGCGAACGCCACTGACTAAGTTATCAACTCTAAAAAATCATATATTTTTACCAACTACGCTACTATTACCTTCGACTTAATAGAAATAAAAAAAATACTGGCAAAAAGCTATTGTTTTCCATTATTAACTGCCTTTTTATTAATTTAAAACTTTAAAAGAAATACTGTAGAATCTAATTTTAATACATAGTACGTTTTTTACTTTAAAATTTTAAATTTGAATTTAAAAAAGTGCAAATGAAGGTCCAAATCAATAACAACTTAAGTCCATAGGAGAGCCAAAAAAAGTCCAGGGCATAACGAGTAATACAAAGTATGTTATGGTAGGCAACACAGAAAACACCCCAGAATTGTTTATTCTATATGATAGAGAGCTGATTATTTGCCCAAAAATGACCTTGATTAGTTATTGCCCTGACTCAGTGCCCCTGAGTCCTTTACATGGTGACAATAAACATGAAAATCACTTAAAAAGCGACAGCCACCGTAGTGCAAATACAGTAACGTATTCACCGTGGTGCGGTCATGGAGACCGCATTAAATATGTTCTTGTTGGTATTAAATGTAATAAAAATCACCACTTTTTAAACGAATGCTTGTTATATAAAATATAATTTAATTATATTTTTAGCAACAAATGCAATGTCTACTGAAAGTTTAACGTCAAGTCTTACCACAACAAGGACTACAGAAGGTAAAATTTATTATATCTAATAAAAACGTAGTTTAAAGTTTAGAAAAAGAGAATTACTGAATTAAAAATATCTGTTGAACTACATGTTTATTCTAATGTAAATAAGTAAATATACGTTAATATTTTGTTTATTTTTAAGAATGAACATAACTATTTTATTTATTTCGACGAAACTATCTTGAAATTTTTCACCACTTTAACAATAATATTAATGCTTGTGTGTGGTTAGTAGGTTCTTTATTTAATATTCCAATAGAGTTACACAGTTACTTTGATCTAAAGATAAATAAAACTTAATCGTTAATAATTTTAACCTACTTAAACATCAAAGATGGAATTTTGATTTAATGTATTTATTTGATACTTAAAAATTTGTTTTAGTTGATGATGATGATGATGATGACGAAGAAAATGGAAGTGGAGACAAAATTGACAACCTAACAAGTAAGTAAATTAAATATATTTATTGTTAATTATTATTATTATTATAATTATAATTTTTGTTTTAGCAATTGGTGATGGTGAAACTGATGATATTAATTAAATCCTCTTTGGACAAATACAAAAAGGTTAAATAATAATAATACAAGAATCCTTCAATACATACTTCCTTATACCCTAATATCATTGAGTAAGGAAACTTCCTTACTCAATCCTAATATTAATAATACCTTACTTTAACTTCTGTATAATAGATGGCGCCGCTGTTTTTAACATAGAATTCTGGATGTAGGTACTCATATATCCATTTGTTACAACCCCTTCGGGGTTTTCTATGATTTATTATAAAGTATATTTAACAAAGGAAGCAATGTATTTTATTTTTAAGCGGTCGATAAATTAAAATTTAATATAATTGTCACGTCAAGTGATTAATGATGAAAAGCATTACAATTTAAAGATAAAAATGTTTAATGCAATTCGGCCCAGAAGGTCTTTTTGTGCTTTGCTCAATTGTGCAATTAATTGCTCAAACTTTAAGCTTAGCATAAAAAGACCTACTTCTTAGCCTAATTAGGCAAAAAAATCAAAAGGGGTTAGTATTTTAAATACGTTAAATGATTAAACGTTTTGAGCCATATATTAATATCATCATTTAGTCAAAATTATGAATATAGAATATAAAAACGTCTAATTAACCATTGACTAAAGAATACTTCTTCACTCAACGGTATTATCCTTGTAGAACTGCATGCATTGAATAAGGGTAAGGCTACTCTTGAAGTGCAAACCGAACTCGTCCGCCAGGTGGCGCTAGTTAGGTGCACAAATATTTAAATACAATTTTAATTTGCGAATCATCGAAATACAAATACAATTTTAATTTATGTTTCATGGAAATTAAACCATCATTGAAATTTCATTAAAATACAAATATAATGAAAATTAATTCATGCGTCATTAAAATTAGCAATATGTTTTAAAAAGAAATCAAATGATACACAGAATGCTGGGTTTAATAAAAAGTACAACGTTGCTGTAATATGATTTAAATACAATTTAAATGATACACAGTATACTGGGTTTATTAAAAAGTAAACGTTGCTCTAATATCATTTAAAAACAATCTAAACAACGGATGCTACGTTTAATAAAACGTAAAACTTTCCATATTAATCCCTGTTAGGTATATATAAAATAAGCATTCAAAATTATTAGGTAACTGTTATAAATTTTATACGCGTTCACTTAGTTTGAACCCTTTCTAACAGATGGAGCTACTATTTAGTTTCTACACATACTTGGAAGTATGTGAGTTTCTACCAAATAATTCTAAATTTCTATACATATCTAATAGGGTGGAGTGAATTTTATTAAATTTATTAATTGATTTTTCCTATATTATTAATTGTTGACTAATGGCGTAAAATGAATAAATATCGAAAAAATATTCCAATTTTTTAATATCTTGAGGTGGCGCATCAGTCTCGAAGTTTTGAAAATTCTAAAAAAATATTACTTCAATCAAAGTAATAAAAATAGCATTATTTATAAATAAAAAGTTTATTTTAGTAAAATTAACGTGAAACGTAAACATATTTAATAGTAAATCATATGCTTTAAGTAACTTCAGGAGTGTTTATTGGTAGAAATGAGATCTTCTTTTTCGCGAAAATATATGTCAGTATACTGACATTTGGTATCAAAATTTGGTAATTATTTTCTGACTTTAATTCTTGTTCTGATAAAACCATCTCTTGCTTCCGATCCACAAACCGAGACTGAAGATTTAGTATACTGGTTATAACCAGTTTTACACAGCGTTCCACTGCTTGGGTGTGACACGGAAATTTTTGGAAGTATAGGAAATGGTCACCTGAAGAAATCATATTGGTAATTTCTGCCATCGTATTTCATACTATAGTCGTGACTGCATAGGTGGTTCAGTCACCTTTTCTGTCGCCCAGTGAATTAACTCGTACAAACGTAATTCTTCAGTATTTAGTTGTGGAAGCTTTAATTCCCGTAATCTCGAACATTTTGATTCTTTTCTCGCCTTTAATATTTTCGGCAATGCTAGTTCTCTGATCGATAGATATATTGTAGGTAACATAGCTAGTAATAGGTTTTCGGGATAAATATTAGCTATAGCTTACAAAGATTCAGGCAAGTTAGCACATTCCCTATGGCTGACGTGGGCTAATAGGATTATTCGTTTATATGGGGGGACAGCAAATCCATCGAAAAACGTAAAAGAATTGGCTACTTTTATCATGAAAGTGTATGCCCCAACGTGGTTTTACATCAACACCAAGCCTACGTGCAAACATGGTCCTATTCACATATTTAATATGACTAAAAGAGCATTACATCTCCAGAAAAACTTGAAGGCCTTATAACTATAGTTATAAAGAATATTCAGCGAAATATTTATCCCGAAAACCTATTACTTGCTATGTTACCTACAATATATCTATCGATCAGAGAACTAGCATTGCCGAAAATATTAAAGGCGAGAAAAGAATCAAAATGTTCGAGATTACGGGAATTAAAGCTTCCACAACTAAATACTGAAGCATTACGTTTGTAGCAGTTAATTCACTGGGCGACAGAAAAGGTGACTGAACCACCTATGACTATGAAATACGATGACAGAAATTACCGATATGATTTCTTCGGGTGACCATTTCCTATACTTCCAAAAATTTCAGTGTCACACCCAAGCAGTGGAACGCTGTGTAAAACTGGTTTTAACCAGTATACTGAATCTTCAGTCTCGGTTTGTGGATCGGAAGCAAGAAATGGTTTCATCAGAACAAGAATTAAAGTCAGAAGATAATTACCAAATTTTGATACCAAATGTCAGTATTTTCGCGAAAAAGAAAATCTCATTTCTACCAATAAACACTCCTGAAGTTACTTAAAGCATATGATTTACTATTAAATATGTTTACGTTTCACGTTAATTTTACTAAAATAAACTTTTTATTTAAAAATAATGCTATTTTTATTACTTTAATATTTTAATATTTTTTTAGAATTTTCAAAACTTCGAGACAGATGCGCCACCTCAAGATATTAAAAAATTGGAATATTTTTTCGATATTTATTCATTTTACGCCTTTAGTCAACAATTAATAATATAGGAAAAATCAATTAATAAATTTAAAAAAATTCACTCCACCCTAATATCTAAGCATCATTTATACCGATGAGGCCAAAACTTACTATTAACTTTTTTATTGACATAAGAATATATTTTTTAAAGTCTTTTTAAAAAAGTTTTATATTATTTAATATAAGTACTATGGGAGCCACAAACCTTTTTGGCCCCTGCAGGGGTTGGACCGCACTATGGTCAAAAAGCAGCGTTTTCCGGAAAATTTGTTAAAGGTTTTTATTTTTTAATGCGTTTTTAGATTATCATTGTTTTGCAGAAATAATTCACAAACTTTTGTATTAAAAATATATCAATTTTATTCTTTTTAACTGTATTATATAAGGATAATTTCGTATAATTAACTATATTTCAATAAAAACATTTTTTAATGCCTTTTTAGATGTTCATAGAGCGTCAATTGCGGAAATAACCCAATAATTTTTGTATTGCAAAAAATATTTATTTTTTATTTGTTAAATAAGACTTAATACGTATGATTAACTATATTTTAATAAAAAAACAACGGTTTTAATTTTTAAATGCGTTTTAGGTGGTCTTAGGGCCGGTTTATCAATCTCTGGTTAAGTTCCAGTTAGTCTATCTGACAGTTAAATTCCATATCGATTGTTGCGAGAACAATGGTATCCATGCAAAATTATCTACCAGATAACTAACTGCAACTTTAACTTGACATTGATAAACCGGCCCTTAGAGCATTAATTGAGGAAATAATCAAACAACTTTTTTATTGCAAATATTTATTTTTTACTTAATAGGTATAATAGGTATAACTAACTATATTTTAACCCTTTAAGTGGCAGAGTCACTATACTGACCACCCTCGTGATTAAATGTGGCGCCAAATATTTGAACACCCAACCGTTCTTCTGCTATCAATAATAACTATAACATCATGCCTAAAGGCCTGCAAATACACTTAGTTAACCAACGTCCGCTACGCATGACGTATTTTGAAAAAGTGGTCACTTAACTAACCATCGATACTTTACAAACATTACTTTTTTCTTTGAATGTGCAAAGTGATATTTGTGAACATATTTAGGTGAGTAAATGCTATTTTATTATTTTGTAAATAACATTAAAAACTTTCAATATGTTTCTTTGTATCTCAGTTGCAAAATTAAGACAAAATATTTAAAGTATTGGGTGTTTTGGGCCTCATAAAGGGCAACTATTTATTTTTTTCAGAAAATATAGGTTAGGTATACCAAATTTTTCTGGTACTATTTTTCCTCATTACAAGATACTTATAATTTTTCTTACACCCCAGAACTATAATTATCAAAATGTAAAATTCTTATTTCACCTAATATCAACGGCTTAGATAATATTTTGATACTACCTGAACTCCAACTGAAATCGTCTCGAGTCTACCGGTCACAGTGGCAGAGTCACTATACTGACCACCCTCGTGATTAAATGTGGCGCCAAATATTTGAACACCCAACCGTACTTCTGCTATGAATAATAACTATAACATCATGCCTAACGTTTTTTAAGTCAATTTCCCTTGAATAAATAATGAGTTTCTGCCAACAATATATTTTTTGATAAAAGTGGTCAATAAAATGATTTTAGAAATTATACTACATCTTGTTTTCTTGAAGTAACCAAGATCACTATACTAACCACCCTATTCTGAGAAAAAGGGAGGGGGTAGATTTTTTTGTATATTTTTTCAAGCATCCTGGGATCCATATAAATTATCTTAAATAAAAAAAAAATGTGTTTCAAAGAAAATTTCTTCTGCCACTTAAAGGGTTAATAAAAGAAAATAAAGGTTTTTATTTGTTAAATGACTTTTTTAGATGGGGTGAAACGATTGCAAAAATAATTTAATAACTTTTTTATTCTAAATAAAAATAAATCCTAAGCACACTTTAAGAAATAAATAAACATAATTTGAATTTTAACATTTATTCCGTTAATAATTTCTGAACTTCTTCATCAAGCATATATTTTACAAATTTTGTATTTCTCCTAAATAACGTTATTAGGGGGTCAGACGATATTAAAAGAGGATACAATATATCCTGGTTTGTTGACTTTTTATTTGTGGTTCTTCTGGAAAACATATATCGAAATTTTTTTAAATCCTTATTTCTAGATTCTTGAGCTTCCTCGGGAAGTAATGTTTTACCTAGTTTTTACCTTTAAGGATGCAAAACAAGGGATTATTTATTAATTTATAAAATATTTTTCCTTTAAGATACCTACAAAGCAAAGGATGATTATCTATTAATTAATACCTAATAATTTGTTGCAAATAGGTAATTAATTATTAATCCTATAGGATAAGTATATACTTTGTATATATTTTTAAATAATATTAAAAAAAATTAATACATGTTGAAATATTTATAATAATTAAAAAATTAAACTAAAACTTATGAGCATAGATTTGTGGGTACGAAAATCTTGAGTGCGTAGTAAAATAAGAGCGCTCGCGATTTAGCCATGCAGCGCGATAAATAAAAATTCATAATTTTTCCATGTGTGCGTATATGTAGCTAATTTTTGAGTACTTATAAAGTAAAGTTTACCGAACAACCTCATGTAGAAGTTAAACAGGAATTTATTTAAAAATAAATATACATTTTTTTCGATTAAAAGATATACATAGTTTAATAAATATGTGCATAATTTTTAGCCAATTTAACTGTTTTAAAAACATTCTACTTTGAGGTGTCATAAAATCAAAACATAATTACCTAAAAATATTTCTTTACCAAAATCTATTGCTTTAAGATGTTTTTAAGAAATTATCGTCATAAAAATATCCATAATAAAAAGTTTTTAAAATTGTATTTTTTCCGATGTTAGGGAGACCTGCCACAAACTAATAAACTAAATATATTTGAAAGTTTTTTTTGATATTATAACGTACGCTTAAACCCAAATACTAACTATATTTCTATCAAATTAAATAGCTTGCGTGGTCACGTTCAGTGTACATCCAAATTTTGATTCTAAAAAATAAAAAATCTAAAGAAATTTATTATAATATTGTCTTTATCAAGTAATATTAATTTATAGTATATATTAAAGGTTCATAACATAACAATCTGATTTGTCCTAAACAATTTCTAAAGTTATTAAAATTTTACCTATAACACAGGCCAACAGGTATTTTGGTACCGGGGTATTTGAAGCTGATCTTATATAAGTTTGAATTCAAATATGTAAAATCTTATATCTTACTCCTTACTTATATCTAAATTTTTTAAGTATTGTTTTATCCTTCTCTAGCTAAAGCAGCCACTATAAGATCCTTGACTCCGTTCAAGCAACTGTTAATCCTAACAAATTTTAAATTGTAATCATATATACTAGTCTATAGGCTAGTATTATTATTTACAATTTAAAATATAAGGTTGTGAGTAATTTGGTGGGCTTAATTGGAATCTTTAGTAGATTTGGCTTCATCAGGTTTAAAAAAACCCAATAGGACAATATCGCAGTTTTTTTAATATATAAGTTTATATTTTTTCTTTGAGAAATTAATGGTTAAAGTTTATGAGTGAAAACTTGATTTATCATTTTAATTGAACCAAATGAAAAAATACTAAAAAAATTGTTTGTTAAAATTTGTAGACCAGTGTTATTTATTATTAACAATGTTAATATAACATAAATGGATATCTTTAAAAAAGCATTTCTAATCCGTTATTTAAAATATGCATTTAGGCTCTGTATAAAATATGGAACGACAATAAAAATTTCTTTAAAATAAATATTATAAATTTTATACGCGCTTACTTAGTTCGGACATCTTCTAACAGATCGTGCCACAGTTTAGTTTTTACGAAAGAATTCTAAAATTATATGCATTTATTTTAGGAAATATTCAATAGAGGGAGTTATGTACACTATACATGCAAATTTAAGTTCATTATAAAATACTTGTTATATGTCATACAATTTCATAAACGACAAGTGACAATTTACATAAACTAGATAAAAGATATTTGCACCATCGTGAAAATGGGAGAGGTCAAAACTTAATATTAACTTTTTTGATATTAGAAGATGTTTTTTAAGTATGATTTATAAAACTAAAAGCAACAGGAAAATAATATAAAATATGTTACATAAGGAACATTTTGTCAAAATTTTATTGTTTACGTATTTTAAAATGTTGCCAGTTATCAATGCTTAATTGTTGGCTTTAGCCTATAAATCTTATCAGACATATTTTAATCAGAAATAAATATTGGTGGTGGACGCCATAATTTTAGTTTAAAAGTTGGGGCAGAAGCTTTAATTTCAAAAAATTACTATTAGTTACTTAAAATCGTAAAAAATTGACAACAAGTATTATATCGTGAATTTACCTACAAATACTTTACACAAAGTGTGTGATAATATAGTGAATTAATACTTACTGTACCAAAATTTTTGTTGTGGTTTAAAAATTCATAATATGCATATAAAATAAAACGAATGAGGTTTCAGATAAAATTATTAATATATATTTTTATATCACAGTCAAGAACCTAACATTACAATCACATTGGAAAATTATTGCTTAAACATTAAAGCCATTATTCTAACCTATTAAAGCACAATTGAGCAAATTGGAAGACATTTGATTTAACCTAAATCTAGTAGAACAATCTACCATGGTCGCCATACATTTTCTGTTTCTTCTACTGGAGCTGGTGAACCATTTGAAGAAGCCCTTGAGGAAGGCGGTGTCAAAGGCATTTGATAGTGAATGGAGTCCACTGGCGAGCATGGCGGGGTCGGTACACGAATCACAAGAGGGGAAACTGTATCCATTTTCTTGAGGCTGTTTCCGAGGTGGGTCATCAGCTTGGTGCCTAAGTGCACGTCGACTCCCGGAGTTGAAGCAAGGCAGCGTGAAACTTCTTTGGCACATTCTGTGAATCCGGCACGAAACTTTTCGCTCTCCATTCCGGGCTTGATGAGTTTCTTTTGCTGGCGTAACTTTTGCAGATGACAAACAGTCATTTCCAGGATGTCAGCTTTTTCGAGTTTTTGAATGTTTTCTCCTTCGGTGGCTAGAGCATTAACCATAAGATCCTTGAGTTCGTCTAGGCAACGGTTGATTCTTGCACGACGTTTTCTTTCCAACATTGGCTTCATAACTTTTCTGTACTGGTCGGTACGCGACATAGGTGGTGGTACACACGGCATGTTTAGTTTGGTTTCAAGTTCAGGTAGTTGCTTACAGTTCGAGCTCGAGACTCAGAATGCCGCTTGGGTGTCTTGTGCGCGCTTATATACGCTCCTTGGGACAGATGGCAGCCGCCCTTAGGAAGCGCATACAATAGAAAAAGGTCTTGTAGAAAGAGGTTGACGCAACTTTCTCACGGTACGCGTACAAAAGCGAAACGGGACAAGAGTAATCCGGAAAAGAAGAAGGGTGCAAGATGAAAAGGCGAGCGTCCAAAGAAAATAAGAGCGTGGCTGACACACTTAAGAACTGTGGATTAAAAAAAGGAAATGGTCGAATGTATGGCACACTCTATGCTCACTTATTAAAATTAAAATAACAATGTTGACATTTTAGTACATCGATTTTTAGTATTAAGTAACGTGCGTTAGTTTATTATAATAATTATCAACATTCTAGCACAGTGCAAAAAATGTTTTGATGTTATTTATAAAGTTCAAATCATTTATTGGTAATTGCTTATTGCTAATGTTATGTCTGTCTAACTATGATAAACTCGTCAGTAACATGCGCCACACATCAAAGCAATACAAATAAATAAATAACACCAGTTACTTAGTTAGTTATAATATTGATAATCTTTATAAATATGGTAGATATTTTAAGTTTAAGGTTTTATTTTTTACATTACATAATAAAGTAATATGTGGTTTAAAGTATCTGACAGTTATGAAAATACACAAAAAAAGTCAAAAGCAAAACACAAATTTTGTAATTTTTTTTAATATTTAAAACAAACAATTACAGATTAGACTAGGGTTGCAGGACCTAAATTTTAAATAACTATAAAATAAAAATTGTCTATCCTCCTAAAATATAAAAGTAATATCTTCTATATTTCAGCGTTTTTATTGTAGGAAAAATATAGTTGCAATGTTATGTTTATATTATTCTATTTATGGTGTTGGATTTAGAATACAATGTTTAATTATTTTTTATTTTAATTTAACAAAATATATTTACTTTGTATTTATTTTCACCTTATGCAACTAAAGGAATAAATGAAAATTAGCAGTCGATGTTGTCATGTCGAAAAAACTGTTTTTACAATTTAAAGTAAATAATATAAAGATTATAATAAAGAAGCTCCTTATAAAATTAAAAAATTGATGTATTGATCACACACAGAGAAAATTAATCTCTTGGTTTTACTATATTTGGCTTGGCTCATATAAATTTCGATATCTACAAGAAGATATTTATTTAGTGGAAAACTTTGGTTTATTTGACTTTTTAAACTGATATTTGGTTAATACAAGTGAATATCTTGTTGACTTTTTATCTCAGGTTTAGTAGAAGCTTACTTAAAGAAACAAAACCTACATTAAAACAATTTAATTAATTGCTCTAAATAAATATATCTTTACAATTAATCACAACAATAAGTTGTTTTCAAGAACCTTATGATTTACAACCAAATAATAGTATTTTCTTATTGTAAACAACAAGTTACCACGAATAAGAATATTTTACTTCATACAAGAAAACCTGTTTCAAATAAATGCATTTTCTTAAATCAAGAGATTACTTTTCTCTGTGTAGTAAGTAATAATATAGGTAGGTAGGTTGTTGCTGGGTTATCAAAATACAGGGTGTAAAACTTTTTAATTGTATTTTTATATGTGTTAAATATATAACGCTTTATTAATAAAATATAGATAAAATATTACTTTATACTTCAACTATTTAATCTTGACAAAGATTATAAAACTTGGGCGTGCATAAGAAAATATTTAGAATTAATTTTAATAATGTTTGAATTCAAAAACTTTTTGTTTTACTTTTAATTTGATTTTTTTTTATTAATTTCTTTTTATAAAATATATTAGGGACAGTCTTAAAAACTAACTTTTCCCATTTTTGTAGAAAACCAGAAAAAATGTTAAATATCATAATAAATAAAAACGACATAATATTATTAATTATCTCTTTGTAGGTAAGACACAAGGAACTCAAAAATTATATCATTTTCTACCTGTCAGTGAGGATTAAAAATTAGATAACTTAAGCCCCATTTAATGTTTAATACCTGGTAGGTAATTTATTTGCAAATGCTGTTAAAATATTAAATGTAACAATTTGAATTTAATAGTTGGAAAACCCAGCTCGAGGCATAAAAATAATCAATTTTTCCTTTGATAAAAATTAAAGAATTCGCTTTGCTAAGTAAAATAAATTGCCGCAAACAGTGTTTTTGTATGGAATAAATTTAAATTTTTAACGTTACCCACGTCAATAAATATATTTTAATCGGTACATTTCCTATTTCTGTCCTAACTATTATTTTTTATGATAAATAATCTACATACAAAAATATTGTAAATCAGTTAATTTCTATGTACACTCACAGGCAAAATAATCGATCCACGCAAATTTTCGATGAATTTCAATCGCAAATAACTTTTTTATTCGATGTCGGATTTAAACGAATAGGTACTAAAGAATATTGTAGATAAATTAATGGACAATCGCTCACATTTTAAAAAATCACTAAAATATAGACGTACCTATACATACGTCTACGTTTATAATATACAGGTTTAAACAATATAATATATAATATACAGGTTTAAACAAAAAGATGTTTTTTACCATAAGTTTAAGACACTCTGTAGAGTGGCAAAACCGTATATTGTTTTAAATTAAGTTTTCTTAACAGTTTCGTTTTTGGTTCACCTCGATATATTTATTTTTGTGGCAAATATAGATTTTTTAAAAAAACATTGCAATTTCCAATATTTTTCTGTATCAAGAACTAAGGTTGCTATGGTCCATCCATACACTCAAAAAAATGCATGTAAATTTACAACACATTCACATATTTAAACTTGTATTTTTCCAAGTATTTTAATGTAAAAAATAAATCACAAGTAAATTAAAGGATAATTACAATTTTTAACGTAAAAACACCGTTTCTTATGTAAAATTACCTAACACAAAATTAATATACATTGATATGCTTGTAAATTTCATGTTCCCTTGTAATTTTACGAAAAGTTTTGAATTTTTACAATGTATAATGTAATATCACACTTTTCATGTAATTTTACAATTGTGTATGTAAATTCCAACCAATCGGCGCGCTTAACTCGATAAAGCGGTGGGGAATACCAACTGGTGATTTTCTTTGCGGCGTCAGTTTAGCTAGCATGAACGTTTAGGCACGTGTGTTTTGATTTATAGTTTATTCAAATCTTCTGGTGGTAAGTTTCTTCTTATTATTGTTACAAATCGTAAGGTATGTTAATATTACAGAAATGTATGAATGCAATGTTTGTAAAACAAAAGTAAGGACGATTAGAGAGTATAACATTCATCTTCGTCATCACAGAAATACACCAGGTGTATTATTTAAGTGCATGTTTTTAAACTGCAAATGTGTATTTAGAAACTATAACCGCTTTAAAATGCACTATTTTAGAAAACATTCTGAGCCAGAAAAGAAAACAGATTTAAATAATTATGCATGCAAAGTAGTGAATTGCTTTTATGTAACATTTAACATTAATGCCTTTGTTTCACATATTTATAGTCACATACAATTTGGAACAAATTTAGTTTGTCCATTTAATAAAGAATGCAAATGTAATGTTATTTTTAGTAAGATTAACAATTTAAAACAGCATTTTTGCAGAAAACATTATAATATACAAATTAATTATGTCAAAAATAAACCCATTGGAAAAAAGAATACTGCGGACGTAATTTCTTACGAAAATGTTTCTATGGAAGTAAACAACATTGACAATACTGTAAAAAATGATTATAAACAAAATTTTATAGAATTAAGTCACAAAATTATTAGTTCTCTTTATCTAAGTTTAGAGTCAAAATTTTTTATGTCAAACAAAACTTTACAAATATTCATTGACGGAATGTACGATATTAATAAATTAAACACAGATTTTATATTACAAAAACTATTAGAAAATGGAATCCATCTTGATAAATCATTATTGGATAATAATTTATTTGAAGAAGCTCACAATCTAACTAACGGTAAATTTAAAAATAAATATTTTAGATTAAAATATTACAAAAGTAATTTTAATTATATAAGTCCAATGTGTGTAGAAATAAATCAAAAACAAAAATATTTTTATGTGCCAATTTTACAGACTCTTAAGATTTTATTTAAAAACGAAATATTTAGTGAACACTTTTTTCAAAAGCGTAAAACACATAATTATTTAACAGACTTACATGATGGAGAAATTTATAAAAAAAATACTTTTTTTCGTGATAACCCAGATGCTCTGCAGATTATTTTATATCAAGATGCATTCGAAATTTGCAATCCTTTAGGGTCCTCAAAAATTAAGCACAAAATTATTGGTGTTTATATGACTATTTTAAATTTACCGCCGTGGCAAAGATCTCAGACGGACCAAATACAATTAGTAGCTCTAATGTACGAGAGAGATATAAAACAAGTTGGTATTTGTAAGTTATTTGAACAAATAGTAACTGATTTAAAAACATTAGAAACTACAGGAATTACTTTACAAATTAATAACCAGCAAATGCATTTTAAAGGGTCGTTGATTTGTGTAATTGGTGATAATTTAGGAAGCCATCAAATAGGGGGCTTCATGGAAAATTTTAATCTAACTTCATTTTTTTGTAGATATTGTTACATAAATAACGTTAAAGAACCAATGGAAATTTTAAATAATTTTAAATTCAGAACTAAAGTTACTTATACTGATGATATTAATAAATTAAATTTTTTTACCAAATCCTATAACGGTGTTAAATTCGATTCAATTCTAAATTGTCTAGAAAACTACCATGTTTGTAACCCTGGCCTTCCACCCTGCATTGCTCATGACTTACTTGAGGGGGTTATTCAAGTTGACTGCATGTTATTTATTAACAGACTAATAGAAAAAAAAATACTTTTCTTTCGAGACGTTGAATCGACTGTTTGAAAACCTGAAATTCCAAAACGAAAAAAAAAAGCATTTGCCTGTTTGGAAAAAGAGTGATAGGCTTTGTGGAACGGCCACACAAAACATGTGGACACTTATTGTTTTGCCATTTGCTTTGTTTGAATATAATGATGTTTTAAGACAAGATCCATGTTGGAATATGCTTCTAAATTTAAAAAAGATTTTACTTTTAACTTTGAGCTTTCAGATTTCATCAGGTCAAATTGCTTATTTAAATAGTTTATTAATTGAATATATTACTGATTTACGTCAAAATTTTCCACTTTATAGGCTTAAGCCCAAACATCATTTTATATTACATTACCCTTACTTATTAAATCAGTATGGACCATTACGACACGTTTGGACCTTAAGATTCGAGAGCAAGCACCAATATTTTAAAAAAATAATGAGACAAACAAATAATTTTAAAAATGTTTTATTTTCATTAAGCCAAAAACATCAGCTTCTACAAGCACTGCATTCATCTCAGTCTACCCTCTACATTAAAAAAATAGTATGTGATGAACCTCAATCCTTTATACGTTCTGATTTTAACTTAAATATATTAAATCTTATTGACCAAACTGTCATTCCCAATACTGATTTGTATACATCACACAGTGTTGTTTTTAAAGGTATTACTTATTCAAAAAATATGGTTGTTGTATGCAGGAAAAATTATTTAGGGGAATTTGTGTTTTGCAAAATAAAAAATATTTTGATTAAATCCTTTTCCGAAGTTTATTTTGTTGGGTATTTTTTTGAAGTAATATATGATCTAGAATTTGGCCTTTATTTTGAAATACATAATAATATATATTGTACTTTAAATATTATAAATGCTGATAATCTTTTAAGCCCAGAAACCGTTCTACATTTCAAAGCAAGCCCAAATATAAATGTTTATAGTTTTAAGTCGCAACCATTGGAAATATTTTAATTTTTTAAATTATTAAATGTGATTTTTATTTTATTTAATTATTGCTAAAATACATTTAAAACAAATTTATTTTTTTAATATTTTAAATTGTGTAGCTTTAAAATTATTATTTAAATATTATAATATCTATAACTATTTATGTTATGTATGAATGTATGTATAGTTTTACGTAATAATGTAATATTTTATTGTATACAAAATATTTATTAAAATGTGTCTTGCAGTAAAGTTGTATTTTTATATATTTTTTTTTTATTTTTTTTTTATTTCATACCAATATATTCTTTAGAGAATCATTTAAGAAGGAAGATGCATCTGTTCAAAGTTTGGACAAGAAATCGTGAAAAAAAAACAATGATAGTGGTATCAGAGCAGGATGTTTTAAATAATTTAATTCATAAAGGTAAGATTGCTCCTAAATTTAGCCATTTTATTGAAACTTTAAATTTAAAAAAATATATATATTAAACAGAAACCTATTTTTTAATATAAACTTTTAAAATTTTTAAGTTTCTCATAAAAGTTATTTCTAAAATTCATAAATATACATATATGTATAAAGACTTTAATTATTTATATACATATATATATATATATATATATATATATATATATATATATATTTATGTACATTATTAATATAATTTTTTTTAATATTTATATTACCATTGAAATTAATTTGATTTATCTATTTAGCTTCTGAAAAGCTACAAATTAATGGTAAAAAGTTGGTACTTGAAAAAGACGGCACTGAAATAGACGATAATGAAGTACTTTTGTTAATAAAAGAGGAAACTTTGATTATTCTGGAGGATAATGAAAAATGGATGTCACTCGGAATAAGCACACCATCTTCAACATCTACAGAAACAATTGTTTCTGATCCTTCATATTCTGAAATTATTCCTATAGGAATAAATTCCGAACTGACATATATAAATAATGAAAACCTTGATATTATAAATATGGAAATTATAAATTTAGATTCAGTTTCAAATTCTGAATATATGTGGAATAATTATCAAGTACCATGGGAGAAAATACCAGAGCACATGGTTAAAATGTGTGAACGAGGTGAAAAAGTCAAATATGTAATTTCGGAAATCGTACATATTGTAATTGAGGATTTAAGACAAATAAAAGAATTAATACCCTCAAAAGTTTTAAAAAGAGTGGCAAACAGTATGTGCGAGAAGTATCCGAAAATGTTTAAGGATGTTGACAATGATGGAATAGTTTTGGCAGACGGATCTTGTTCACTATATTGTAAGCTACATGAAAGGGCATCATATTTAAGAAGACCACATAAAAGACGAAATAAGGAAATTCAAGCAGTCCCTCCTAAATTAATTAAAAAAAAAATTAATGTTATGTCTGGATGTTCTCATTGGGAATCAACTACACCTCTAATAGATGAAGATATAAAAAAAGTTAATTTATGTAGCCCTCACCAAGAAGATTTTTACATTTTGTTGGAAAAAACATACGGACAGCAAAGGACATTTTTAAATAATATTAAAGAACCACCAACAGTGACTCAATCAAAAAATGAGTGGCCTGTGTTGTTTAAAAAAGAAGCAATTGAATGGCACTTCCAAAAGCTAACAGGTAAAGATTTAAACACCCTACCCACAAAAATTCAAGAAAAGACCGTTTCAATTTTAAAATTAAGAAATAAAGGTAATCAGTATGAAGATGGAAATTGGGAAGACTCATTTCATTTTCTAGCAAAATATTTCAAGGAAGATATTACATTTTTTTACAATAAAGTTAAGGTAGGAACAAATATTAATAATATTCTTTAAATAACTTATAGAGGAATCTATTACAGGAGAGTGAGGAAGGCAACGAAGGGAATTTAATTAAGACACTAGGCCCATGTGTTTTAGAAATAGGTATGCATACATTTAGGGGATTTCTTTTATATTCTATATAACTAATATTTCAGAAAACAAAAATAGGATTCTTGTTTTTATGGAAAAACAACAAATTTTAGAAGTATCATCAAGCCTGGAAGGAATTAAATTGGCATTCGGACTTTATTATGTATTTAATTTGGAGTATCCCAAAGAAACATCTACATTACTGGAGTTTATTCAGAGATATTTTCTAAAAATTCACCCCGATTCAGGGACCAGATCAAAGAAATTAAGGGCTTCTAAAACCAAAGTTATATCTCTTATAAATAAACTTGATTAAATTTATAAACATATACCTTTTTTAAATGCTTTGTGATTTAATAATGATCTCGTTTGTTTTATAGTTATAAGTTTTATAAGAATAACTGTTTTGTTTAAAGTATTATTTTTTTATAAAATATATTTGTTGTAAAATTTATAAAATGTTTAAATAAAAGTTTTAATCATAAATCATTTTTACTCTACCTACTTTACTCAAGTTATAAATGCTCGCAATTTTTATATATATATATACATTAGGGTGCTTAAAAAAAAAATTTTTTTCGCTCTTACCCTCTCAAATGTTTTTATTTAATATAAAAAAAATCCTCACCAGCTCAACTCTAAGAGGTCGCTGTTTTTATTTTAGTTTCCCATTGAATTAACATGGGAAAAAATTAATTTATGTTTGGAATTTTATACCTCTGTATCAAAGTAACTTATGGCAATGATCATTGCAGTTTCTTATATAAAATTTAACGGTCTACAAAAAAGGTCTCTTATTATTTTTCGATAAATTGATTTCTTCTAGAGTTATTCGAGGTCAAAGTTTTCCCCCTTTCACCTCCCGTCTGCTAATTGTACCAGAAAATTTGATGTTAATCAAACTTTGACCTCGAATGACTCTAGAAGAAATTAATTCATCGAAAAATAATAAGAGACCTTTTTTGTAGAGCGTTAAATTTTATATAAGAAACTGCAATGATCATTGCCATAAGTTACTTTGATACAGAGGTATAAAATTCCAAACATAAATTAATTTTTTCCCATGTTAATTCAATGGGAAACTAAAATAAAAACAGCGACCTCTTAGAGTTGAGCTGGAACACCCATATTTGGTGAGGATTTTTTTTATATTAAATAAAAACATTTGAGAGGGTAAGAGCGAAAATATTTTTTTTTGAAGGACCCTAATATACATATATTTAATTTATTGTAATTTTACGTTGTAAAATAAACATAAAACAGTACAATGTATTTTTACATAACAAATTTACAATACTACTTGTATTTCTGCATTGTAAAATCACAAAATTTATTGTAATATTTACAATGTAATTTTAGATATCATTTGCAAATTCACAATGCTACTTGTATTACTACATTGTAAAATTACCAACTTAATGTAATATTTACGAAGTAATTTTAATGTTAGTATGTAATTTTATTTCGGTAATGTGAAATTACTTCATTATCGATGGTCACCAGTAACCAACGATAATCAATGTAAATTCACATAGTTTTTGTTTTGAGTGTAGGCTATGGAGAATGACAGTGACAGTTTTGTTGAATCATCCCATATTTGGACAATAGCTTTTGAAAGCCGTGTATGACATGTCCAATGGACATGTCATACACGGCTTTCAAAAGCTATCAAATTGTTTTTTGCAAATTAATGTTAAAATTTTGAGGTGACTTCTTACTTTAAAAAATAGATATGTCTCCGACTGATGTTGCCAGAGCCATTAATTTAATCCAGGATGGACGGTCACAGTATTACGTGGCAAGTGTTTTAAACGTCACAAGAAGTAAAGTACAAAGGGTAACATCAGTGGGAGATATTTTTAAAAGTAAGAAGACACCTTAAAATTAACACATTAATTTACAAAAAACAATTTCATAGCTTTTGAAAGCTGTATATGACATGTCCAAGTATGGGATGATTCAACAAAACTGTCACTGTCATCCTCCATAGCAACCTTAGTTCTTCATACAGGAAAAATATTGGACATTGCAATGTTTTTTTTTTAATCCATATTTTCCACAAAAATAAATATATCAAGGTGAACCAAAAACAAAACTGTTAAAAATAGATGTGACTTGATAATTAAAACTTAATTTAGAACAATATACGGTTTTGCCACTCTACAGTGTCTTAAACTTATGGTAAAAAACATCTTTTTGTTTAAACCTGTATATTATTAACGTACGTGTATTTTTAAGTAATTTTTAAAATGTGAGCGATTCTCCATTAATGTATCTACAATATTCTTTAATATTTGTTTAAATCCGAAATCAAATAAAAAAGTTATTTGCGATTGAAATTTATCGAAAATTTGTGTGGATCGATTATTTTGCCTGTGAGTGTAGTTATTTGTAGTTTGTAGTTTAAAACTACTAGTTTTTGACTTTAAATGTCCATGAATTTTTATTTTAAATATATAATTGTTAAATTAACAATGTTAATACTAGGCAATTGCTGTTAATATAATGTATAATAAAGATTAAAGAATCACATTAAAAAATATTGAAAAATTCGCAAAAATTTTATAATCTAATTTCTATTTCTGTCAATGCATAATTACGATATACGATATAAATAGGGTACCTAGTAAATGAATTTTAAAACAATGAATGACGCATATCGAGAAATTTGCTTTTTAAATTAAAAAAGGCCGGCACGTACTACTAATTACAAAACAAACAACATCTAAACTTTCATAAAAAACAAAACTATTAAAAATAAATTTAAATATAGGTATATTTTTATTAATTAATATGTCATAGTTAAAATTATTATCACAGTATTACATAGCCGACAAAGTTAAAGCATTGTCTTTTTCTAAAAACACGAAATATTTCCATGGGAAATGATGAAGGAGTTGGAACAGACTGTACACTTTTTTAAGTTTTCTTTTATAAAAATATGAAGAATGTTTTTTTGTAGAACTTGAGAAATATTAAGGGTATTTTTATGTCCCCTTTAATATGTTATTTAGATTAGATTATTTTATCTTGTACACGTATAATTAAGTCATCTCGAGTTACAAATATCAGGTTACTTTTAATATAATTGATAGTTTAATACATCATATATTTGTATTGCAATCAACAATTTCTTTGCTACAAGGATTATTTTTTAAATTAGTAAAAGTAAATAAAACAAAAAAAAAATAATTTAAAAATAAATTTGTATTAAATAATTTTGCATTATTAAAATTACTATCACAGCAAATTTTAAATCTCAAATCACACAGTATCACACAAAGTGTTTAATGTCAATAAAATCTACCACAGTGTCGGTACTGACATTAATCTAATTAATCTTGAAGAAGGTGTCAAAGGTATTGAATAATATTGAATTTCCAATGAATGAATGGTGGAATTGGTACAGTAAGTATCAGGTGTGATACTGCTTCAATTTTATTTAAATTGTTTCCCAAATGGGTTATTAATTGGGTTCCCAAGTGAATATCAACGTTGGGGATGGAGGAGAGACACTTGGATACTCCTTTGGCACACTGTGTGTATCCGGCTTTAAATTTGTTACTTTTCATTACATATTACGTCGGTTGATGTTGGCAAGGTGAACCGTTTTGTTTGATAATTTTTTTTGTACTTGTCACTTTTTTGCATAGAAATAGTATATGGGCCAGATAGTAACATAGGCAACTTGTTTTTGTTTATTATTTTGTTGTGTTTGTATTTTCTTACTTTACCTGATATTCCGCAAAATAATGATCAAACTTTTGGGATAAATTAAACCCAAGATTTTGGGAATCATTACTAAAAACACGAACACTGTTCAAAATCAAGCCTTTTGAAATACCTAATCAGAATTAGTTAAGGAAAAATAAGGTAATATGCTTAAACGAGTAAAGCAATTTACCTTCTCGTTTATTAGGCAGAAACGAATGCCTTAGTTCTATGGTGTATTCACTAACTTCTAGATAAATATTCATACTTTACTTAATAAACTTGTCAAATTTAAAAAGATAGGCAGATTACCTAAATATTTAGTCAATATCTCAATTACTTTTAGGTACGACAATTTTGCTTTTAATTTAGGTAATTCTTCTAAATTATTATGGCAAATTATTGAACTAATTTAGGTAAATTCCTTTAAATATTAGTGACTTACTTGCAATCGGCTACGATCGCTAATACCGACGTTTTAAGATAAATATTCGCGCCTATATTGTCCTCCATAATGCCAAAATCAACGAAAGCTTAAAGACCGCGTTGTGTGCTATTGATATAACAACATAGTTAACAATTATTGTGATATAAGTGAACATTTTGTAGTGCTATAGTTAAGTAATCCAAACTAAATGGAATTTCCCATTGACCCCAATTTATTTTTAACCCTGCAGGGTTGGGATTATTTAAAGGGTTCCGGTACTACATGTAGTACCGGAACCGCAGTTTTTAATCCGCCTAGGACGCAAAGATAAAGGAGTCCTAACTTGGAAGAAAATTCCTCTGCTAGTATTTTCACTAAAAATATTTATAATTTGCCTAAAAACTTAGCTAAAATCTACTTAAAAATTTAAGCAAATTGCCTTAGAAACAGTACATTTCTTCTTTTATTCTCAGGCAATATCCCTTACGATCTAAGGTGTATTATCTTTGAAACCTAAGTAATTTTGCTTAATTAATTGTATCATTTTCTTTAAAAATATCAGTTAAAGAATTCACTAATTTAAAAGGGGAATATTCCTCTAAATTCATTTTAAGCAATTTGCCTTAAAAAATCAATGGTCCTATATAGTCTAAAATTTTAGGTAAAAATTAGCTAAAATTTTGAACAGTGAACACCCCCCACTGTCCCCAATTTACTATTTTTTTTTTTAGAATTACCAAACAGTTCTCTCCGTGCACATAATGTAAATTATATATAGTCAATTTACAGTTTTTTTTGACAAATACAAATTAAAAAATAATCACAACTTAATATTATATTTTTCTTTAAGAAAAATTCATGATTGATTTCAAATGTTGATAAAAAATAACACTTTAATGTTCTTGCTTTAAATTTTCTTAGTAAATCAAACCGATTTAAAGAAATACAAAAATTCATAGTATATTAATATAAAAAAGATAATCATTATTCACGAGGATGAGGTTTGCGTCTCGAGTCGTCAGACGAGAGACTCAAATCATCCTAGCAAATAGTGGGCATAATCTCGAGTGTATTACTACTCTCTAAAAATGAATTAGTCAAAAATAACTAATTTAATAGTTAATAGTGGCTGCTTTTTCACTTGTGCAATGGTTAACCATCGAATACCATGGTATCCCAAAATTTAATAGCCAATTCTTATGTAAAATTGTGCTCTGAATCCGAAAATACCGTCAAAAATTATTAAAGTGGAGCAGTTTTTGAGATATAGTCAATTCCATATTAAATGGAAAATTTACTATATCTCAAAAACTGTTCTACTTTTTTAACTTTTGAAGACATGAAAGTGGAGCAGTTTTTGAGATATAGTCAATTCCATATTAAATGGAAAATTTACCATATCTCAAAAACTGTTCTACTTTTTTAACTTTTGAAGACATTTTCGGATTCAGGGTACAATTTTACATAAGAAGAGTATATTTTATATAGTGCAACTATAGTAAATAACTATAGTTAAGTTTTTAAAACAAATAAATAAAATCTGACATCTTTCAGATGGTTAACCTTACTTTCTACTAATTTTAAATATAGAGGCCTCTCAAACCCGATTGGACCAAATCACGGTGTATAAAGCAATCGGCCAATTACGGATGCATAATAAGGGGAATGAGTTTATTATTCCCTTTATCATTATATACGGTAAACAATATTATGCAATAGGTGAGTTATGTGACCCAAAGAGGAGTTAATATTATAATTTAAATATGACGACACCTCATGACATAGAGTTAATTGAGTAAAAATACTAAAAGTTATTAACAAAAACTTTGAACAATGTTGATGAGCATTAATTTTTGGACAAATTAAAATTATTTTTATCAAAAAACAATCTACAGTTAAAAATATAGTATATCTTATTAAATAATTTTTAGTTTAAATTAGTATATTGTTTACTGAGATGGAGTCTGTTTCAGGAATTACTCTCGATAGATGAAAGTTTCGCGATTCCATGCGAGGAAAACACTATACTTTTTTGTTATTACATCTATGTATTGCAATAAATATTATTATTATATATCCTGAAAAAAATAAATGAAACAAAAAAATAAATTCAAAAATATTTTTTATTAATTAATAATTATTAAAATTATTATCACAGATATCCTAAATCTTAAATCACACAGTATCACATCCCTGACGAATTTAAAGCCATATTTAAAGCAAGTAATTCCCATTATTAAAAAAATCTACCAAGGCCTCCAAATCTCAGTGTCGGTACCGACAACATCAATGGGAGCTGGGGATGAACCTCGTGAAGAAGTAGGTGTCAACGGCATGGAATAGTGTTGAATTTGCATGGGAGATGATGGCGGAGTTGGTACACAGACTGTCAGGGGTGATACTGCTTCCATTTTCTTCAAATTGTGTCCTAAATGGGTCATCAGTTGAGTGCCCAAGTGAATATCTACGTTGGGGATAGAGGAGAGGCACCGGGATACTTCTTTGGCGCACTGTGTATATCCGGCTTTGAATTGGTCACTTTCCATTAAATTTTGCGTTGGTTGTTGTTGTTCGCGGCGCAATTTGTGGAGATGGCGGACTGTCAGCTCTAGGATGTCGGCTTTTTCCAGTTTTTGTGCATTTTCTCCTTCGGTTTCCAATGCTGACACCATTAAATCCTTAAGTTCGTCGAGACAACGGTTGATCCTTGCACGCCTTTTTCTTTCAAGCAAAGGCTTCATTACTTTGCGGTATTGGTCGGTTCTGGACATCACTTGTTGATTATTCACTGCGTAACTCATTTTTGCTGTTGCGTAGATAAACAGGCTACTACGATGCGTACGGTTCGAGCTGTGAACTCTGAATGCTTGTCTAGGGTGACGCACTGCGTTTATATAGGCGCATAGACCAGGTGACGGATACCCCGGCTACAATGGTAGTTTAGTGTTGTAGGAACATATGTCCACGGTTCTCACGCTTTTCTACAGCATAGGATCGTGTGCATGGAAAAAATCGTGTGCGTGGAACGATCCGTACGCATGCCGTCGCTTCCTTTTTGCCATTTAATAGTGTCAAATGGCCGACTTTAAAGTCAATTAGATAATTTTTTTCTTTTAAGGTTATTTATTTGTCTTAAGGGTATTTCCACGAAACCTTACCCCACCTTGACAAAAAATCAGATGTGTTATTTAACAAAATAACAACAATATCTAATGTTGTCTAAATAGTTTAAATGCGACGTAATTTATAACCCTAAAATATTCGTACATTGTGATGCTAAGAAGCTAACATTAAAAATAAACACGGAAGTTTCAATACTCGATAAAATGTTCAAATGTCCGTTACATTTTGAGAAAATTTTAGAAAATAAAGTAGATATGCAACTTTTGTGCATTTAAAAAACGTGCTTGTTTAAGGTTACTATTCAAGTTTTCATCCAAAATTTTACAGTATCAACTTAGAAGCCAATTAGGTCGCATTTGCCGATAAAAGGTTTTCTATACAAGTTTTTATTGACATTTTGTTTGAGTTAAATACCTAATTTTTCATACTATTTTTTATATTAACGTATCTTGATATATATGAACAAACACTTTATTATCATGAAAAAACCCAGTTTTAGTGTCGCACCCGTTACAATGGAAATACCCTTAACTAAATAAGTTATTAATATAAAAAGTTTTTTAGCTTGTTTTCGGCAAAAGCTTTTTGAAATCGATTTGCTTTTTTATATATTTATTTAAAATTCAAACGATTTAATGACTTTTTATTTAAAACCTAAACAAAAAATATAAAATTTGTTTTTCCATCGGTAATATTTTCGGTAAAAATTTCACTTAAGCCTTTATAGTGTTTATGCGACTTCATATTTGTTACCTGCATGTGTATTTCCCCAACATTTACATTCTGAAATTTAAATGAAGGTAACAAAGTAAATTAATTATCTTTGTTCCATATGGGAGCATTAAAATTTGATTAAAATTGGTATAGTAAAAATCAAGAAATTACCTTATTTAATATTACAAAGTATATGCATAACAAAATGTTATTGGTTTACCAAAGAATTTCGTGTTAACATTCTTGAGATTTAATTTTTTACCGCCATCCAAAAAAATCGTCCCCTAACTATCTTAATTACCCATAAAAGTAGAAAAAATGCAGCCGTCTATGTACAAAAAAACATATGCAAGCGCTCTTGATTCCCACGATCAATGATCTAACAAAACAGAAGGTAAAAATCAAGTGAGCGTAGCACGTGCCCTCATCCCTTATTAAAAGGGGAAGGCCGCTTTATTTTGTATAACATATGTCTTTTTTTACCACGCTTGCTTTGATCGGACTTTAAGCAAGTCAAAGAGAGGTTAACTTGATTTGTTTAAACAAAGAGAGCAATACACTCGTTTTAATGTTACACTTAAAATATACTTTTTGTGTAAAAACCAACAATTATTGCTACTTTTGCATTTCTTTTAGGCATCCAAGACTTGGATGCCTATTCCAATTGTTAAAATAAAGTGTTTAGCCAAATAAGTAATACATATTAATATACCTATATAAGGAACTAATTAAGGCTTGTATTTAGAAAAAATTTTTATTAAACCCATTACTTTTTATTGCATTGTATCTTTACAATTTAGCAAAATAAATAAATATTAAGTTACCTTTTTATTTATATTTTGTTTATTTTCGTTTTTATCTTATGAAATTGAAATGCTGCTTGTTTAAAAAATGTTGTATAAAATGATTATACATACCCCCTTAATTAATTAAACATGGTTTGTTTTGGTTTTTTTTACATTTAAAACTCAATTTTAGTGCGATAAACAAATTACGGAAAAAAATGTCGTTAATGGAAAGTTTAAACCATAAATAATTTTCCCTTAATTTCTTTAGTGATTATGAGTATACCTCTATAACGATTAACTTAATTGTTTATGCAATGCACAATTCTGGTAGTATTCCGTAGATTTGGAAAATTCTGCCCATAAAATTATATTTGGTCCATAATTTTCCTATCTAAATTATTTTATAAAAAAAAAATATTCCAGTGATATTTTTTAAGTAAAGTTATATGTAAATTATGAATAAAATTTATTAATGTTGTTCTGTACTTACGTCAATTTGTTTACATATTTGTATATTCATATTATTTAAACAATTTATAAAAAAAACCTATAAGTAGGGTTTAATTGCAACGTCCTTTATAAAAAACATTTTTGTTTATTTTCTATTTAAATATTTATAACTGGCATAGTCTCAATAATATTGATGTTAAATCTAATTGAAAATTACATTATAAATATTATTTAATAATTTAATTATATTTACTTAATTTATATTGAAACTGGCTTTACAATTGTAACTCTAAAGTTACTTTAAGCAAGTTAAACAAATAACATATCCAATGGGTACTACCCATTGTGTCTATTATTTATTAAACAAGTTTGGTTATATGGTCTTATAGCTTTAGAACCAAACTTACCTTTTAAGGGTTAAGATTTTAAAATAAAATGCAGTTATAGGTTTATATAAACATGAATATTTATTTTCAATTGGTATTTTTTTAAGAAAAAATACAAAACCTTATCACAGTTATGCTTGTGATATACAAAACATATATGCATCAAAATCGAATTTGATTACCATTTCTATAAAAACATTGCCTTGACATCACAGTTACTATTTAGGTATAATAATAATATATATATCACATAAAAATCTATAAAACAATCTGTTAAAATACATACAATAGGTTCCCTACCATAATTTAAAGCTTTAGTTCTATTTAAAAAAATAATAGAATTACAATTATTAGAGATCAACTAAAAACTAATGTTAAAGCACTTGAGCAATCGAGTTTATTGGAATTTTCAGTAAACGTTTAAAATGGCCTCCAGATTTCGTTTTTTTGTGCAACCTTCAATAAACCAGAGGTGGTACAATCCATTGGTTGGTTTGGACTGTGTGTGTTTCTGGAGGAAATTGATGAAGCTGGTGTCAAAGGCATTGGGTAACCAATGGTTGTGATTTCTTCTGCTACTGGAGAACTGGGTGGTGTGTATGGGGATGTAACTTGTATAACTAGGGGTGACACTTTATCCATTTCATTTAGACGGGTTCCTAAGTGGGTCATCAATTTGGTTCCTAGTTGTACATCGACTCCTGGTGTACCTGCTAAGCATCTTGATACTTCATTGGCACAATGTGTGTATCCGGCACGGAATCTATCGGCATCGATGACAGGGTTGGCACTGAGTCTTTCTTGACGACGTAGTTTGTGGAGGTGACGTACTGTTAACTCCAAGATGTCAGCTTTTTCCAGTTTGGAAACATTTTCTCCTTCACTTTGTAAAGCTGTAACCATTAATTCTTTTAACTCGTCCAAGCAACGGTTGATCCTTGCACGACGTTTTCTTTCCAACATGGGCTTCATAACTTTCCTATATTGATAGGTTCTTGAGATGGGTTGAGTTTCTTCAACTTGTAACATTTCGTAAGACATATTTGCACTGAACTAATAAAACACTGAGCGAAGCGAGCGATGTGCGCTAGACGAGCTTTCGACTCTGAATGATATCGAGCAGTGGTAGGGATCCTATTTATAGCCCGGCCAGGTGACGAACATTTGAACATCGGACAACTAACTCGTGGGAAACTTGGAAGCCAGCTCGTTCCCACACTATAGCCACCTGTAGTAAACCCAAAGCGTGCAGCTGCCTTAACCCATCTCGCTCCCACCTACACAACTCTCTCTCTTGTTTCGAAGTTGTCTAACACGGGACACTGCACGTCCTTGTCTATTAGACCGTTTATCTACATGATGCAGATTTTATTAAAATGATAGCCTCTCTTTCTCTTTTACTAAGATCTAGCACGTGCTGGGCTTGTGCGACACAACAAAACTATTATTGATTGTGTTCACGATGACTTTCAAGTCAACCTTAATTACTCAAGAAATTTACGCAACGTATTTATTATCTTCTTGTTTTGTCTTGTGCACATCAAAATAAAAATATTACACTTATCACAAAGCCTTTCATACAGATTTAGAGTACTTTTATTCTAGAAATGTAGAAGATACCATTTTGTAAACTGTATCAAAAGAAGTCGCATTGGCGTACTCAAAACAATTCCTTGCTATTTCAAATAAGAATCGAATAAAACTGTAAACCCAAAAAACATATTTTTTTTATAGTCAATTTACGACGAGTTGGCATTGTTACTTTGACAAACAGGTTGTCAATACGCAGGTAAAATTGGCCAAAATAGATTAGCGGTTAAAGATCAGACATGATTTTTATTTATTTAATTCCATATCGACTGATAAACAAGTCGGTGTAATTAAACGAATGTTCTGTCTGGATGTGACGCGCAAAGGTTAAAGATTTCATAAATAATTTAATTGAACCCGTGCGCTTTAAAATATGATGTGTTTAATAACGTAAGAATGTTTTTTTAAGAAATAAGTTATTCTCTCACATTATGCAGATTGTAGAAAAATTTGCAGGCGCTCCTAAGTCTACTAATTTGCATTCATACTAGTAGAAATCCACTTGTGATATGTAAATTCGAACATACGATCGTTATCTAAGGTGAAAACATTGCAAATCAAAGTTTAGACACCTGTTAACAACCCGAAATCGCTCAAAAGCACATTGCAGATTTTTCCGTGCTCATTTATATTGTTAGTGTAGGTCTTTGAATGGCAAGAGTGGGTAGATTGTTTTTTTCGACGTGGTATTGCGGAGCACGTGCTTGGCGAACGTTCCCACGGTAGTTTCAGCCGTTTGCTTGCCCCCTTTGCCTCTCGCCTCCTCCCTCCGTAAACTACTTGAACACGCTTGAGCGTGATCAAATCCATGATTATTATTGCGGGTAAACGGGTTCTGTTTAAATTGTCCAGCACGTGGTCTCGGTCTCGAGAAGACGAAAGATAGAATCTTTTGTTCGGCATACGATGCTCCCTTTTTTTCGTCATTTTTTTGTTTTGTTTCAGGAGCGTCTTTAAAGCTCTTAGACATCAAGGATTTGACAACTTAGGTTTTGTTCTTATTTGATATAGAATATAGATAGGGGTACATTAATACTAATATGTGTAATGTGTTGGGTTGGGAATTAAATAGATGTTTTACAGTAAATTTAAAGATTGGTTAAATGTGCAATAATAAATTTGCATTAATATACCCTTAAGTAAATTATAAACACAGTTCAAAAACCTTTCTTGACATTCTTGACTTGTGGCAAATATGGTTACATGAAGAGTTAAGTGTATGAGCAAAACAACCAAAAAAGGGATGCAAAACGAATTTTGTTTTAAAAAACTCAAGGATGATAAAAAATTCCTATGCAAGAATCTTAAGATGTGGCAGCTCCAAACACCTGCTTGATTTTCCCACACATTGAAAAGGAAGTGCGCGAGATAGAGATGACTTGTAAACGAAGATGAACATATGAATTTTATTATAATTCATAAGGTAATTTAATTAGACTGCGGTCTAGATATTAACTGATAATTTATCTGATGCGATTTGATTTTTCATGGACACCTTTTTTTCATTTGTAACGGATTTTTTTTATTTTAATAGTTTTTAATAAAGTATCTCAATTAAGTAAAATGAGGTTCAACAAATGATTTGTTCAGTGCAAAATATGTAAATTGAGATATCATAAATTTATTAATAGAAATAACCTGTCAGTAACAATTTATTTCTTTATCATCAATAATTTTCTGCAATGAATACCAGATGCAAATTACCTGTATTTATAATATAATAAAGATATTATAAAAATATATTATTGTGGCTTACCACATTTTTACATTTTAAAAATAAAAAGATGAATAATACATAGGTGTATTGAGTAGCAGATGACATAATATGTCATATTATGGTACCTTGAGGCATCTATACATGCATACATACATCTATTCAAATTAAAGCACTTAGTATTGGTCATAAAAAATATAAAAAACATGTTTCCAACTTTGAAAAACCTACACTCATAATAAATACTATTTCTTAAATAGTGTCGATGATCACTTTCTATATCGGGCGATAGACAAGTTTTTTTACAATATAGGAGCTAAATTACATAGTCCCGAGAATGCTGGTAGTAGCTATAATCATCTCATATCTCATACTGTGTTACATTAAAATAATAGTTGTTACTGTGTCATTATTTCTTGTGGCACGGTCTTGAATGTTAAATATAAAGTATCTTGTCTTAATGCCCAAGGAGTTTTATGAATTTTTATTGGTACTGAAACTAAAAGTTATGTTTTGAAGAGATGCCTTTTCTGAAGTTAAATAACTGATGAAATCTTGGAACGTGTGATTCATACGTTAAATACGAAATCTCGTTTGTGTTGACGCTTTTCTGGCAAACAACATGTGTTCATTTTTTAAACAGTGGTTCATTGAATGGAAACCGTGAGAAGCGAAGCGTCGAACACGTACTAAACACACGCCTTGCTTGTCACACGAAGGTTAAACTAATAAAATAACGAAGGCACGTGAAATGGTGGAAATAATTGGTTTTATTGCTAAAGATTAGAATAACAACCTGTTGATAAAAACACAAAAACATTGTTTACTGCGTCTAGAAATACCTTTATCTAAAACTAAATATAATATATACCCTTTGAAGATGGCATCATAACCATTCTTCCTATGTGCATAATGTTTTATTTATTTGCAAAAAAACATGATTTAACTTAAATTTATAAATGTCAAAAATACTTGTGCTCTACCACAAACTGTAAACAAACATAAGCTGTGTAAATGGAAAGGTAACTTGGCAAAAATGATATAATTTGTTGACACAACAATTCGAGTGTGCTGTGCGATAATGCCTTTTGTTTGACTTAAACATTACTATACGGACCGTGGGAAATATTAAGCGACATTTGGGCACGTATGACACGCCTCAGACACGCGTCACTTATCGATGAGGTTCACTGAGTACCATTGTAACAAAATTTTACTATGAACACAAGGTACTATTATCCAGTAAATATCATGTCGTTATTTAAAAATCTTATGGACGAATACACAAATAGTGATACAAATTATTTCACCTAATATAACTAATACTGCGTTGCCGAATTGGTAATACAACTTCATTTATAAAAACAAAAAAGCATTGCCCACTATGTTGCTAAATCAAGTTAATCTATAATATCATTTAACTGTAGTTAATACCCCTATACAAATTGTGGGTGTAAAGGTTCTTCTAAACTTGTGCTGACCACGCTTATTCCATAAGCATTCTTAAAAATCTACATAATAACCAAACATAACAAAACCATCTACGTAAATAAATCCAGACGCGTCTATCCTTTTCTAACCATGTTTGAATGAACAGAAATCAGACAAAGATAGCAAAACCAAACAGTGTGTATAAGTATATGAGTTCTCACGATCAAGAAAACACCTTTCCTCAATTATCAATTTCTTACCCTATGCACACGAGGGGAAACTTTTAAAAACGACATATGGTCATCGGGCGTAAGAGCGTGGGAATGAGATTCGAGATTCACGTCCTCTAAATACCTGAAGATCGTACGACTCACCCCAAATAGACGTTCGCCTTCTCATAGAAAAGAAAAACGTGCACAATTCGCTTTCTGTTTGTTGGTGCAGCTGCCGAGGGTATAATGACTCGAGGGCCGCATAATTAGTCGATATAAAAGTAAATAGAATCCCATTAGGTCTAAGGGTTAGCCAAACAGTCCTATAAGAATATTTTTTCAGCCTTCTATAAATTGTTTTAAATCAAAATTAACAATATAAAGTTTATAAACAAATCTGTTTTTAAGGGTTACACAAATGGTCAAATAAGACTAACTTTCAAAAATTACTTTGGAACCTATTATTATATGATTTCCACAATTAAATGTAGAAGCAAACTTGCAGCAAAATAAACAAAAAATCATTTTAGAAAAAAAATAAGTGAATATTTGAACGAGAAAAACTGTTCGTCGTGTGATGCTTTTGAATAAAAGTACAATAAAGGTGACATTACATAAAGGTTTTTTTGCATTTAATATACGGTAGATATAATCACATAAAACTAGGGTTAGCGCTACCTAGCGGAAAATATCAAAAGTATTAAACAAATGTTCGGTAGTGGACCATGGTGCAATCATAATACTGCTTTTTAAATAGTGTTCTGGGTCATTTTTGACTAATTAATTTTAAGAGAGTAAAGACAATGGCGAGGGTGGGTTCAGTGACGAGGATGATGTGCCGTTATCCTCGTTTCGGTACAATCTCATGTACCATCTTCAGGTCGTATCTGTTGGGCTGCTGTTGCTGCGAGCTAGACGTGAATGTTCTCAAAAACAATGATATGATTGTTTTTTTTGTACCTCAGAATGTTTTTTTTATTTTTTGGTAGATGTTTTTCAATAAATATACGTTTCTATTTAAAATTAAGTTATTTTACTCATGCCTTCATTTCTTTAGAAAAAACTAAGGAATTTGACCGGTGCTTAGTCAATTGACCGGTCAATTGACCACAAAAAATTTTGAGCGGTCAAAATCCCAACCCTACATAAAACATTGTTACAAGAAAACACATACAGCATTTTGCCATATTGGTGGTTATAAAGAATTGGACAATCTATATTTTATTT